CACTTCTCCATACGATCATACTCCCGACTGTGGAACTCCTGGAAGTCCTGCAGGAAACACATTGAAGTTAAACAGGTGTAACTATGGTTTACTTTTAACAATCCAAAAACACGTCATTTTCCTCATTATCTTAAGACTAGTATCAAAATAGATCAAAACAAAAAGTAGGCAGCATATCTTATAATCTTGACATTTACTTAACATTTGACAAATATGTAGAATTTCTGATAAACAGCAGAGTCCATGCTTAGTAGTGTTTTACCTCCAGGCTCTTTTTAAGATCCTGCACCTCCGCAGTCTCCTTCTCTAGTTGGTCCTGAACATGGTAGGAGAAAAAAGGTACTTCTACGTAAATGACAGACTTCTACAGCACTTCTTAAGAAAAAATGGTTCCTTCTTTAACCTAATTTTTGTTCAATGTGAGTACAGACTAAACCAAATCTTTCCATTCAGTGTAACAGAATAACCTACCTGTAAGTCCTTTTGTGATTTTTCTGCCTGTTCTGTCAGAGCCGTGATCTTAGCCTTGAGGGTGACCACCTCCTCATCTTGGTGCTGTCTTGTTGTCTGCTGGGATGCAGCTGCCTCCTGTAACAACAAGACCAACATGTCAAAACACTGTCAAACAATCAAACATAAAGCAATGTGACATTCAGCAAAATAATGCAAGAGGAGTAAAAAGAGAACAAAACCGAATACAAGTGCTCATAGGTTCTACATCATCAAACGTCTGCTATACTGTCGGCTTGAAGAGGTTGCTGCTTGGGCAGGATTGACTGAAATTTCTACTAGAAATGTTTAAACTTGTTTTCTAATGTCCTTTATAGTAAAAACCAATCGCTGTCCCTACCTTTAGTTGTTTGAGCTCCTGTTTGGCCTCTGCCAGCTCAGCATCTGCCTCGTCACAACACTTCTCCATGCGATCATACTCACGACTGTGGAACTCCTGGAAGTCCTACAAGAAACACAACAAATAAACTCTGTCAGACTTCAAACAGGAGTAACTATGTTTTACTCTGACAGAATAAAAATAAATGTAGATAGCATATCTTGACATTTTCTTTTACATTTGACAAATAGAGTTTATGATTTACAGTGTATGTTTTACCTCCAGCGCCTTCTTATCCTCCTGTGCCTCTGCTGTCTTCTTCTCCAGTTGGTCCTGAACATGGTAGGAGAGAAAAGCAAGGTGCGTCTGAGTAAACGATCTCTTTAAATTTAAGTTGTTGCACCCAAGGAATGCAATGGTGACAACCTACTTCCAGGGACAATGTCCGACAATCAGATGGACACTAGGTGTTCATGGAAAATAAGAGATATCTTTGTTGCATAGCTAGAATTCCAGCAAACTATACTATTAGGCTCTCCCCGGAGGTGTCGTCAAAAAGTTCTATTCACCATGGCTTCACTATAAGGTCAAGAATACTCACCAACAGGTTTCTAGTTTGTTCCTCAAACTTGTTTTTCTCCTGCTGTCCTTCCTCCTGCAGGTTAGTTAGTCTTGTCATGAGGTTCTGGAGCTCTGAGGCATCAGTCTGCTGGGATGACGCTTCCTGGGGAGGACAGGAGTCAATTATCAACAAGAAATCCTGAAAGGATTGTGGTATAGCCCATTTCAGTCAATTGTTGCACTGGGTATATGACCTCAATTTGGGGATGTTTTGTATACATGTACCTGGGCCTGTTTCTGTAAAAGTTGATGAACCCACTACATGCTTCACTCCTACAGTGGACAACAGTGGACAATATCATACCATAGAAAGGGGGCGTCAACTTATTCTCCTGCATTACCTGCTAAACTGTTTCTTCAAGACCTTAATATCTAACCACACAAGGAAATTCGAGCGAATCTGTCCAAAGGATTGTGAGTTATAATTGCAAACACAGAAACCTTCAGATTCTGAATCAACAACCCTAACCACAAGGCCACCTTGCCACCAAAGCTGAAAAGAAATACAGAGGTTCTTCCAGCAGATACATGGTGAAGAAAATCAGGCAGGACAGTTGTGTGGTAAGACTGTACCTTGAGTCTGTCCTCCAGGTAAAACACACGTTCTCTGGTCTGCTCCAGGTCAGTCTCCAGCTGGGAAACCTGCCCGGCCAGGACAGCATTCTCCTCCTTAAACTCATTTGTCACATCCTGGAGGAGAAAAGAATCAAATGTTACCATAAACAACAACAATGCAGAACTACAAATTAAAGCTACTCAATCTAGGGTACAAATCAACATGGTATGGTTGCATTCTTTATCTCTTAAAAAATGTTAACCTTCTTCCTGCTGCCTAAATTTCTCATATATTTGGTGTAAGCGGCATGTTGAAAGTTAAGGTAAAACATTCCAGCTGACCTGTAAGTCGTTGACCTCCAGACGTGAGTTGTTGTACTTGTCCTGCAGGTCTGTCAGGTCTGCCTGTGTCTGTGTTAGCTGAGCTGACAGGTCCTCTGAATGACTTCTGGCTTCCTCCAGCTGAAAGGATCAAAATAATTAGTGATAGAACCTGGTACATGTACAAACATGTACATGTATGCTGAGCTCAGTTAAAACTTTCAATTCTTAAAGAATGACATGTATATAAAACAATTTGGCTTATTAAAAAACACTTTCTAAGCTAAAAATGACTTTTCTGTTATTTTAAAAGCATTCATACGTGATGAAAAAGGTTTACCTTCTTGTGGTCTAGCTGAACAAACTATTGCAGCATTGTTTATTTTTAGTATCTTGCTTAAAAATATATGGTGACCAGCCCCTCCAACTTCCTGCCACTTGCTACATAATGTAATCCAACACCAAGGGGTGTCTGCCACATCATCAGATACCATGGTGAAAGTGACATAAGGTAGACAGACCCACCTGTGTGTCAAGCATGGCCGTGTCAGTGCGCACCTGCAGCAGCTGTGTATGCAGCTGCTGTGCTGCACCCTCAGCAGCTGCCACCTGGCTGTCCTTGTCTGTAACATCTGCCTGCAGCCCCGACACTTGTGCTTCCAACTCCGCCAGAGCTTCCTTGCTCTTGGAGAGCTCCATGTGTAAGCCGCCTACCTTGGCTGTTTCCAACTGATTATAACAGAGAATATCTTTAGTTAATACATTACAATTGCAATGAACCTAAAGGTAAATATACATATAGACCACACCATGTTGTATTTTATGTACGTCATACCCCACCCACCCAAAAAAAGCACATATATTTTCAATGCAAAATGTGGCAGAGGTTAATTTGGTGTCCCTGCACAAAAATTATAACATCAATTCCAACAAATCTGGTATTCAAAATTTTCAGACCTTAAATAGTGCTATGCACATTACGTCCCATATTTCTTGCAGGTGCATGTACAGTCTGCAGACACGCTGACACAAGCTTCTATAACTGTATAAGACTGACCTTGAGGTTATCGTGTGCCTGGTTAAGTTTGATCTGCAGGTTGGCCAGCGCCTGTCCAGTCTCCCCTTGCTGGGACAGCTGCTGTCTCAGGCTGTCCTTCTCCTGTTCCATGGCTGTTAGCTGGTCACAGATGGAGTTCACCTGGCTGCTGTGCTCTTCCTGTAGCTGTAGTAAAAACATCAGGAAACAAGATATTGGAGATTTCAAATTTCCAAGGTATTTTAGGAATTTACTGGAACAACCACGGAGATGTCATTCAATCAGGACTAGGACAGAACAGTGCAGGGATGGAGGATCCCTGGCCAAGTCATACCAGACACTTCAAAATGAAATGCTTAGCACTCAGCACTTAGCATTTGGGAAAGAGCATGGTAGTTAGACATACACCGCTACCAGTGGACTGGCCCCCTGCTGATTGTACCACTGTGTCGCCCAAGGGCTATCAAGACTGGAGATGGGCGCAACTTTTCAACTTGAAGCTGACTGTACACATACCTTCTCCATGTCCTTCTGTAACTGCCCTTTCTGTCCACTGATGGTCCTTAGGTCGTCCAGGAGGGTGTTTCTCTCCGACTCCAGGCCGGTCAGTCTGTCCTGCAGGTCTGTTACCCGCTGGTCAGCAGCTGCAGCTGCGCTGTTCCCAACCTCCTCTAGCTCACAGCACCTGTCCTGCAGCTGTCTCGCATCCTTCCTCAGCTGTTCAATCTAACAAAGGATAACATGGATGTCTTCTTAGAAGGCCAGGCAACTCTAATTCTTACTCGTTGAATTTTTTGTACTGTTCTGAGCACATCAATCACAAAATCTGGTCTATATGGACAGGTGGTCACTCAACGGGTAAATTATCTAAGGGACAACCAAAATGTGGTCACATTGGCCAGGTGGTCATGGTAGAAGTTTGACCTTTGGTGCCTACAGTTCAAAGGCACAGTAACTCATAATAGTCAAAGGAAATATCAGTTTTACTTGTAAGTTGTAAGCTGAAACTTTTTTGTACACTACATGAAAAGCTTCTGTCCAGTACAGGGCCCTTGACAGCTTAGGGACATGTCTTGCCATGTAAGTTGTAACAACAGATCAGTACAGTACTGCTCACACCTCAGTTTACAACAAAAGACGATGATGTGACTGTCCTTATACCAACCTGTTGCCCAGCCTGTTGTAGCTCCCTGGAGGAATGGTCTAGCTTCTGTTCTGTCTGTGTGAGTCTCTCCTTGCTTGCATGGAAATTCTCCTCTGCAGCACCAAGCTGTCCTTTGGTCACTTCTACCTCATGCTCTGCAGACTGAAATAAAACATATCAAACTGATAACATACAAAACCATTCCATGGCTTGTTAGACACTTGAAAACAACTGTTTGTGACCAACGCTTTGTCTGAGAAATAGACCATACTGACTTGATTATATAGATGACATCTGCACATGCATCAATTTTTCACCTCCAAAAACATTCTTTGCAATCCTACTGTTTTTGGGTACTAAAAGAATGCCAAAGGTTGGAAGGAAAATAAGAATGGCAGAGAAAGGGTAGCAGGCTTGAATGTCCACTTGTTTCCACCACCATGTCTTCCAAAGTGAAAGAAGATGTGAAGAACAAAATTGAAGAATATATTGTTTGGTACACCATGCCCTGCATGTTCTGTCATTTGTTCAACCTTCCTGGCTATTCAGATTTCATAGTGAAGCAACTCTTTTTGTCCAACTTTTTTTTCATCCGTACACTCGCTCAGTTTTAGGGTACCCAGAGGATGTCAGTCTGTCCGTACCTGTAGTTGTTGCTTGAGCTCCGTGATGGTTCTCTGCAGTTCCTGTGAGCTGCCGCTGTCCTGTTGAAGCTTGTTCTTGGCAGCCTCCAGATCCTGCTGTACAGCTTTGATCTCGTCCTCCTTTGCAGCCAACATTACTGAGGCCTGCATTGCAATACAATACATAGGTATTATTATTTTTCACTCCATACCATAGATGTGGATGAAACATTTTGCTTTTCTGTCAGATTTCTTATCCTTCTCCTGCCATTTCATTAAATGGATTCAATTTCTTCATTCTGGGGCCAAATGACCTGAAATTTGGCATGGGGGTAGAGGGAACAAATGCCCCTGGACATTTTAAAAAATGTTGATACAATGGCCTTTAAAGTTGTCTTCTTTAGGTTGTTCGAAAAATGCTGTATTTGCTAGCAAATGTCGGCCTCACTAGCTTCCATGCCTTTGTATCAAAGGCTTTGTTTTCCTCAATCACACAATCCATAACAGGTATGTGTTTGGTAGAAATAATAGGACCAAAGATGGTTGTACCGTTCTAGCTTCCTCTGCAGATTTCTCCACCTGCCGTCTCATCTCAGCCATCTCTGCGTTGGAGTTGTTGTTTCGGCGCTGCTGGATGGAGTTCTGTTCCCGCTCAGTTTCCAGGGCCAGCTTGGACCTCTCCACTTCTCCCTGCAGCTGGCTCTTAGCAAACTGCAACCTGTCACATGTGTCTTCTAATTCTGAGGCAACAAAGGGAGGGAGAATAGGAAATAAGAAAAAGTTATAGGCCACGACACGTGCCTTGAGTGCTCAAGGAGGGACCTCAAAAAAGTCTTTGTCAGAAAATATAATTGCCCTGCAGCCAGTTTTTTAGTTACAAAATTACACAAATAAGCACAAGAACACTTTTAAAAAAGCCTATCCAAGCAAACCAGAAAGGTGTCTGAAAGTCACCTTGCAGTTTCTTGTTGTCACTTTCCAGTTTCTGGACTTTCTGTTTGGTAAGATCCAAGTTCAGTTCCAGCTGTTTTATGATCTTCACCATCTGTGAACAGAAATTGCTTACATTAATCTCAAGTACACCTTAATATGTATTATCAGACATTGTCATTGTCATTTACTTTTATGGTAATTACAGATGTAGAAAAAAATGACATTTGCTAGCAAATGCAGACTATTTCACTCCATCTCCCTATGTGAGAAATAACTAATCTAGTAGACCCCCATGTAAAATGGATCAGCCCCAAAACACTTGGCACTGCAGTCCAAAATTGCTTTAAGTCAAAAGTTTTTTTTAAAAATGGTGCACATATGCAACAATTGACTCTTCAGTGACAATTTAAGAACTTGCAACATCTCAATATTGTAGGGCTTAAACATGGGAGATTGATTAATGCTAACTACTGCTGAGCAGACTGTACCTTGTCAGGATCCATGTTCTGGTGCCTGCTTGTGTTGGTGGCATGGCTGGCATGAAGGTTTTCCAGGTCTCGTACCTGGACCTTGTAATCCTCCAGTTTGGTCACGGCCTTCTCCTTTTCATGTACGGCCTGCTGACACTCCAGGGTCTGGTGCTGCAGCTTAGCCTGCAGGTCACTCAGCTACAGGGGGAGGTTCAAAATTTTGATTCAAAATTGATCATGATCAGACAGTTTGCATTACTTGAAATTTGATAAACATAGAAATTAGGATACAACACAGTGCATTTCGTATCAGAAAATACACATTTCATACTAGCCCCAGAAAATACACATTTCAATGTGGAATGTGCCAGAAGTTGAGAAAATCTGGTGTCCCTGAACAAAAACAACACCAACTCTGATGTACGAACCCGCTTTTTTAATTTTCGAAAACGGCACGCACGGGGCACACAAAACATGTGCGGATTATTCTATAGAACCTTTGGAAGCCTGCATGATGATAACCACACATTGGGTTATATCACATAGTCTGGAACAATCATATCAAATGTTAGGAACACATAAGACATTCTGCATCCCATACATACCATGCACAACATTGGGTCCTGCTAGGGATTTGAACCCAGAACCATTCGATCTCAAGTCAACAACCCTTAACAGTGGTCGAAATACTTTTTTTCAGTGCTCTGCAATATTGCAGAAGAGTCAAAATTTCGTCCTGCAATTTTGAAATACTTTCTGCAAATACACAAGCCCCCATATTACAACCTTCTGAAACCAATAATGCCTATTTTTACATCATATATATATAACAGTATAGCTTAAAAATCTGTAGCATTACTGAAATTCTTCAAAATATCACTCTTTTAAATATGTTCGGACCGTAAAATTTTATCGGTCCGGTCCAAAAAAACCAAAACATCGGTGGACCGGTTTTTTTTACCGGAACAAAAATCCATATTTGTTGTTACTGAATAACTGATGATCACTACATACAAAGAAGCCTGCCAGGAAAATGAAAATCCAGCCTTCAAATAAAAGAAGTTTACCTTAGTCTCCGTCTCTCTCATTTTGCAACAATATTTTCCCGTATTTTGGTACCGATAGTCATCTAGAAATCATAAAGGACAAGTCTACGGGCCGTGCTTGGCTCGCATCAAGCCGAAAAATCACTGATTTTATACCATATGGTCACAATGTGATGCACGTAAATTTTCACTCGAAATGAGAAATTACCGCCCACCAAAACGGACCATTAGGTTCCCAGTGCTGTATTTCTCTTTTGTTCATGTGATCAACTTGTTTTCTTTGCTTGAATCGTGCAAAATACCAAGGAAAAACATCGAAATTTCGGCAAATTAACGCCGAGGCGAGTGTGGTTCTTCGGAGGAGCCATGTTTCCTTTGCCGTGTTGCCTGCTGGGAAATGCTCAGCGAAAACTGCCGAAAATTGCCGAGGCAGTTGTCGGGTCCTCCCGGGAGACGAAATCTAACATCGGAAAATGGCGAGTGCCCATATTTGGTTATCGTCGCCTTTCGTCGCCTTGTCGAAATCGTTCAACTTTGACCCCAAATTCCCTTATATGGGACCATTACAGTCTGCTGGAAAACGCCGGCAGGTTCGTGCGGCGCAGGTTTTCGATCTATTCACAGCGCCACTGCTTTGCTAATTGAAAACTACTGAATCCGGAGCCTATTTTTTCCTTCTGCAAAATTGCAGATTGTAAGATTTTCTCTTCTGCAATCTTGAAAATCTATCTGCAAATTGCAGATTGCAGACGGGTATTTCGAACACTGCTTAACCACAAACCACATTACCACCAAACAATGCCAAGCCTTAGGCCTTACCTGCTTGGTTAGACTGTCTATCTCCTTCCTGTTGTCCTCCATAGTTTTAGAGGAGACAGCCATAGACTCTCGGCGTGCCATCTCCAGCCGGCTGATCTTCTGCTGCTGGAAGATGTCCTTGTTGGCTTCTGCTAGTTTGAAATCCTGGGCGCAGCTGAGATCGTGTTCCAGCCTCTCATACCTGCAGAGAAACAAATGCATTCGTGAGGATGTCATCTAAGAGTCTGAACTTTGCGTCAATCACAACTTCATTTCAACAATCACTTGTCCATGGTGCTGAGGAAAAGAATCTGCAAGCTTGGGAGTGATTGTGGGGTAAAATAGTGGTAGGTTGGTATACATAGATGTAAGAAACATTACAAAGGTATCAAATTTTTTACCTTCATATGATTAAGGCCCAAAAAACTAAATGGTGACAAGCACCTCCAACTCTGTCCTGCCACTTGCTCCATAATGTAATCCAATACCACAGGTGTCTGCTACAGCACCAGTTACCATGGCGGTAGTCATCTGGTTCAGGTCATTGACACATTTGTAACAGAAGAAGACAAGGAATAGGAAGAAACAGACTCTGCAAAGGTTAACATAAAACTATTTACCTCTTCTGTAACTCAGCGTGAGCCATCCTGGCCTGGTGTAGCTGCTCGTGAAGTAGCTGAACATCCTTAGGGTGTTTAGACAGGTCATCCTTGGCTACACTGATCTCCTTAAGGTCTTCAACTTGCTTCTTTGCTTCAGCTAAGGCTGTCTTCACACTGGACAGCTGGTCCTTCAATGCAGATACCTGTGAATGCAAGTGACAAAAGAATTCAAAGAAGAATTTTAGCTCACTGAAGATCTAATCTCACACTGGTCATGAGAGAAAAGACAAAGGCTACAGTATTTAGAGAAGAACAGTATTTACAGGTTCATTATGCCGAGGAAATTCTAGGCATGTAAAAGGCAATAAATAGAGAGAGCTGGGTTCCAATTTCCAACACCTGCATACAATGGGCTAACAAACCACCGCCCCTACAGCATAAGGGGACTACCTTCTAAAACTGTGGGGTTTCAACATACAAGTCTATCCAGATCAAATTAGCACTTTAGAACAGTCAAAATACACACCTGCAGCGAATCTTCTGCTGACTTCTGTTCCAAGGTCTTTAACTGTTCAGACATCTGCTCCATCTGACTGTCCTTAGCAGCAAGCTCCTCCTTCAGATGTGCTGTATGGTCCTTGAAAACAGAAGGAAAGTGATTGGTTGCAAATAATTTGATCAGGTTGGCAAGTGACTGTACACCAATCTGCCACCACTCTTAACAAGTAACTGAAACGAAGTGGTCTTACCAATTATTACTGTACTTGACTATGTACACAATGTATTATACTGTGAGAACAGACTAAGGTTGGGACCAACATTTGTAATATTGCAGCAGCGACACCAACTGCAGTAATGAATCAGAACTACAATGTAGTCATTTTTGCCCTGAAGGTGACAGGTCACCAAAATGTTGGATGAGAAAACTCAAGAACCTTATTATACAATGTCTATGTTTGTAGTGCTATACGTTAAAGAATAAGTCAAGTCTAATGTATATAGTTCCAAAGAAAACTGACAAGCAGGCCTGCTTTTCTTTTTTTGTATGCCCAGCACAAATGGCAGGAATCTACCTGGTGTGAATTTTCTGCCTCTTTCTGCTCCAGGGAACTCAGCTGTTCCAACAGTCGATCCACACTCCCTTGGCTGGTGGCCAGGTCTTCCCTCAGCTGAATCAGTTCCTCCTGGGATAAAATCAAATAATCTAAGGCTAAAGCTACTCTAAGTTTTTAGAGGAACAGAATGTAAAATGTTAACACTATCAGTTTCACTTAAATCTATTTACATGACTGAAACTTCCAGCTTTTCAGCTTCAACTAATCCATTATAATTTGATATGCCATCATCATCGGTTTATTAAGAATAAACATAGAAACTGCCTTACGTAGAAAGACTGAATGGCACCAACTTTACTAAACAACAATACAATATCATACAACTTAAGTGGCTAAAGATAAAAGACAGTAGGTGCAATATTCCAAGATAAGCATCTCTAACAAGTGTCTGACTGATTAGAAAGTTGGAATTATAGTCCAGTGTCCTGACCTCCTTAGCTGCTGTGTCCTGAGTTAGTCTCTCCAGTTCTGTAACACGAGCTTTACTCTGCTGTAAAGCCTCTTCAGTCTCAGTCAGCCGGATTACTGTGTTCTCTAGGTCTGCCTCTAGTCTGTCAGTCTGTAGGTGACAGAATAAAGAAACCATAAGTGCAACACAATGTCATTTCTTTGATAATACTAGAATAAAAATATGCCTGGTATTGACTATACTACTGAATAAAGAATTCGAACCATCACTTATGAAGTGGTGTTGAATCTGTATCTGTATCAGTATAGCCGGTATAACTGCCATTCGGCGTAATACACCAGCTTCGGTTGAATGACTGGATGTTTAGGCTAGTAGACAGAGGATCGAGAGGTCACGGGTTCAATCCCCTCCTGGCAAAACGTTGTATCCTTGGGAAAGCACTTTGCATGGCTTTCCTCACCCCATCCAGGTATAAAATAGGTGACAAACTTCGGTTGCGAGAGGCAAAAGGCAGTGGAAGGAAAGGGATGAAATTCACCTCCCAATACCATGCTCTAACATAGTGGATTAACAACCCACTACCTTCTTCACTACTTCTATAAATAGCAAATGCGTTATACAGTCCTAGTCTTTGCCTTTTATATATACATATGTTACATTTTACAGAGCACATCTGCTTGTGAGAATGTTGATGAGAAATCTTTACCTTCTCCTGAGTACTGTCAGCCCCTGCCCCTGACTGCTGCCCCTGTGTCTGTATGTTCTGTAGTTCCTGACTCAGCTGCTCATGTCTGGTCTGTAGTTCACTGTGGCTCTGCTGCAGCTTGTACAGCTCTTCTTGGGAGTCCATAACCTGGGGAAGGGCAACAGAGATGCACATACAACTGTTTTACTCTCTTGGCAGCTGTTACATCACAAAGACACTCAATGCAGTATCAGTGCATCATTAAATTGTACTCTGGATAAGACAATCTGTATTCTGTATGATATTGCATTTAGAAACAGCTTTTATTTCTTGGGACCTCCAGTATTCCAAATATCCTTGCCCATTTTGGCTATCCCGTGAATGCAATCAGCATGTTAAGAACAGTGTTGGAATATTTAGAATGCAGTCTTACTGCAGCTAGCATACACTTTCAATACCTTTCATTTTTCTCTACTTCAAATTCATCTTGAAAGTTTTGAGCATGAACAAGACTTTTTGAGCCAGCCACAAGAACGGGCCCAAAGATATGTGGTAAGAATTTCAAGAATACACTTAAAATATCCAGGAATGTACAAAGAATTTTCATTCAGACAGCATTCCGGCTGATTCTGCCTCTAGTGTGAAGGGGACAGTACGTTGTTATTGTCTAACCTGTTCCACAGACTCTCCCAGGTCCACCCTGACCTGGTCCCGTTCTTCAGTCATGGCCTGGAGAGCTTCCTGCAGTTCCTGCACATTCTGCTGGAGGGCGTTGATCTTGTCAGTAGACTGCTGCTGGGCTGATATGTCCACTGTTGTGTCCCCCTCCACCAGCAGACGTAGCTGGGCACTCTCATCATAGGACTGAGATGGACAGAGATGTATCTCAGTCTACATTGCAAATCTTTTGGTCATCACTATCCTAAGACTGAAAAAATCTCTACCTAACAACCATACTTTTTCAGGACTGAAACCAAAAACACAACATTAATGTAACCTAGACTATTTAACAAAAGTAAGCCAATTTAGGAAAAGCCCAGGGCATGATTGAAGGATTTGGGGTATATCCCAGGACTAAGTACAGTACACATTGTACATGTGATTACTAAGCAGGAAGAAGGTTGTACAACTGTGCTGACTGCACCCACCTTCTGTAGCTGGTCTCTGAGGTCTGTCACCATACGCTGGTGCTGCTCTTTCTCAAGGTGTAGGTAAGACTCTGCATCTGCATTCTCCCTCTCCAACTCCTCAAGCTTTTTCTCAAGTCCAGCCTGAGAAAAAACAGAGAAAACAAGAGTTCCGAGATCTCATACCTCCATGAAATATGGGCTTGATATGTAAATGTAAATTTGTTCTTTAATTACGCAAATGACCTCTGCATTAACATAATATATGCATCGTGATGTTAACTTTTGATTAACTTAAAGATGTCCCAAGTATGACATTCCCATCATTCACCATTGAGAAATCATAGATTTTTTGCATTAATTATGCAAATTAGGTCATCATTTGCATAATTAGTATCTGTTGATGTTCCATCTGCCATAGGTTACATACATTACATGTATGAAAGTTCTATAATGTAAAACACTGTAATTATAGAATTTCCTCATTAATTATGCAAATAAAGTTCTCATTTGCATAATTTGCGGTTAATTATGTACATCTCTCTGTCAGATACCTACACACCAAAAATGATGAAAATACGCTGTTCCTATCTGGACTTATTGGCTTTTAAAGATTTCGCCCGAAAGTCCCCTGCAGTTCCTGAACAAGCTGCTAGGGGGACCAAACCCACACCACTTATTCCTGACAGGAAAAGCTATCTGTCACCAAAAAGTCAAGACCATAGCATGTTCAGGACCAAAGATACAAAAACCGGAAGTTCTGCTGCAGTACCAAGGTCATCCACCAGGTGGCCCATATTTGACCTTGACCTTTGTCTTCCTAAGACTTATCAGCATACCAAATATCATCACAATTCATAAAGGCGTTATGAAGTTATGCTGATTACAAAGTTGCGGAAACACACACAGACACACACACAGACACACACACACACACAGACACACAGACAGACGCCGCCAAAAACAATACCTCCATTTTTCATGGAGGTAAAAATTCTCTTCACTAAAGGTAAAGGTATCATATAGCCCCGTAACCTTTTTTAGGCTGTAGGGGCATTGGGTTGTTAGTCCAAATCCAATGTGTCTGGAGCATGATATTTGAAGGCAGCGCTCATCCAAAATTTTCCCCAATCTTATCATTTAACAAGGGCTGTACTATAAATGAAGAAACGTTTGCAGTGGGTTTTTTTTGCACTGTTTCTATGTGACCTCTTCACTGCAAATTCATGATACTTTGAACTGCATTACTATTGTAATTGTTACAACAGCATATTCAAAACACTGCAAAAAAACTTTTAACTTCCTACTGCAGAATGCAGGCATTATGAAATGCAAATATTTGATTTTTTTCTGTAGTTTCCACAAAATCTTTTGACTAACCAATCTGGAGACCAGCTCCTCTTTCTCTGCAGACACTTCTGTAAGTTTCTTATTAGTTTCCAGTGTAAGAGCCTCTGCATCAGCAGCAGTTTTCCTCAGACCTGCTACTTCATCTTCAGAGGGACTGTTCTCCGCAATGTCAGTCTAAGGAGATTAGACATCACAAAACTTGGTTAACATCTACATGCAAGACATCATTGTACACACATCAAACAAAAAATCAACTCAAAGCAGCCATTGATTACTTCTGGGACAATCCTGGAGGTCATAAGGTGGTTTGAAGGTGGCCAAGAAAGTGTGAAATCAAAAATTTGATGCAATTGTTTGGGGAAGTTATTTCATACATTAAGTTACAGTAGTAATCCATTGTGTGACATAATTCAATCGGGTATTTCCCTCTGATCATACAGTACATGTTCCAAAATATTCACGGATACCCAATACAATCCATGAAGTCTAAAATCTCTGATTTCTGATGTTCGTAAAAGTTCCAAAAATTGCACACATGGTCTACTGATATCATGAATAACCTGACATGATTGCAGCTGACATAGCAAACACCAGAGCCACTACTCTTCTAAATATAAATTGCCTTTCCCAAGGGCACAAGATTGGTGGTATAGCTGGACTCAAACCTGGGACCTGTTGGTTCAAAGCCAAACACTCTGCTGTTCCTCCACATAACCCCACAACGTATACACAAATACTCCTCTCTAAGGATTAAAGAAGGAGCTATCCTGAACATGACTGACCTGCTGTGCCCTCCTCTCCTCCTCGTGCATCTCTCTCTCCAGACGGGTGAACTCCTCCAGCTCATTCAACTCTTCCTCCTTTGTCTTCAGCTGATCCTGAAGCTGGTCCTTCTGAACAACTCTGGAGAAAAAATAACACAGACATCAGCATTAGCAGAAACCTGCACTGTAAAAAAGGTGAACATAGTCCCCTGGCCTTTTTCAGGCTGTAAGGGCAGTGGGTTGTTAATCCACTGTGTCTAAGGCATGGTATCAAATGGCATAGCCTATCCCTTTCCTTCCACTAACCAACCAAAGCCAGGTATTATTTTACACTTTGTGGGGTGAGGAAAGTCATACTTATATATAAAACGCCTTTCCCAAATACACAATGTCCAGTCAGAAATTCAAGGAAATAAAACATTGACCTCTTGATTTCGTGTCTGCTAGCGTAACGACTCAGCCATTTGACACCACCACAGACTTTAGCATTAGCATAAACCATCACTGTACATGTTTGCAACAGTCACAGAGACTGTTACAGTGTACATTCACCCAGTTAAACACCTGTACAAGGCCTACTTACATGTGCTGGAAGTCATCATGCAGCCTAATGTTGTTGTCTTGTAGTTCACTAATAGCAGTCTCCAGATTAGTCTGTGGATAAATACAAAGTAGATATGTCCAGTATGTACAATAAGAACTGGTGAGATTGTACTGAGATGTGATTTCTTCATTCATTCTGTATACAAAGATCTTCTGGAAAAATTGTTGAACTCCAGTCAGTACAAGGACTGGTCTACTGACAACTGTAGACTAATCCTTGCTGTCCGTCACAATTAGCAGTTTAACCAATGAGAGAATGGCAATTAGCAGTTTGACCAATGGGAGTGTGGCTGGATGTCTGTCAAATATTCCATTTTTACCTTTTTTCTTTGCATTTCTACGTTTTGACAGAGGTCTGCGGGGCTATGGGATTGGTCTATTGATATGACCTTGACTTCTTCAAATTCAGTCTAAGATTTAGAAATAAGTTGTTGATATTGTTGGAAGAGAAAAAAGCCCACCTTTTCTGCCAGGATCAGTTCACACTGTTGGAATGCCTCATCCAAGGTCTTGCGGAGTTCAATGACCTCTGCATCAGACGTGCTGTACGCCCTCCTGCGATTCTCAAGGTTAGACAGCTGTTCTTGCAGCACGGCGATCTCCTGGTTTTTCTGTGCGAGTTCCTCTGCAACATTCTTCTGTTCAACTAGGAAGACCTGCAAAACAACAGATAAAAACTAGGAAACATCTGCAAAGCGAATGGATAATGTTTACCTTCACATGGTCTAGCCTAACACACTACCGCTCTGTTCATTCTTCCTAAAATACATTCATACACATGGTGACCAGGCCCTGTAACTCTGTCCTGCAACTTGCAACATAATGTGACCCTACACCACAGGGTGTCTTCTACAGCATCAGTTACCATGGTGTCTGACCCAGGTCATTGACCACCTATGTAAATATATAAACCCAGTACATGGAACAGTACACATTACATGCAGGAAATACCTGCACAGCTCAAATTTTACTAGCACTATATATATATAATACTAGCCTGCATGTGCAGGTGGTATTTGGAGCCTTGTATGAGGAGCACAGTAATCTCACCTCATCACAGCTGTTCTGATGGCGTGATGCTGCCAGTTCTCCCTCCAGGTCGGCTATCTGGTCGTGTAGACTCAGGATCTCTGTCCCATCCCGCTCACGAAGGTCTTCAAGCTATATATACAGTAAAAACAAGGTAGTGCCATACTGTATATTATGTTTTGGAGAATGAGACACCAGTGCAGGTCTCCGTGAATCCTACAGGTTATGTTTAAATTCACAATTTTTTGTATTGGACTGGAGTTATTTTCACTGCACAAGCATGTGAATTTAGACTAATCTAATTTAAATTAAGGGTTATCTTTTTTTCACCTTCTATGACCAGGTCACCAAACAAGGCGTCTAAATAGAAATGTCTCTCTATATATTATGATTGAGTATACCAGAAATAAACAAAGACCCAAACAAACAAACAAACAAACCTGTTTCTCCAGCATGTTGATGTTAGTTCGTAAGGCGTTGACTTCTGTTTCCCTGTCCTGCTGCACAGTGGCTAGCTGCTGCTCCAGACTGGTCACCGTGTCCTGGAGTTCATCATTGCTGTGGCTACCTGCAGCAGTGGTGCAATAAAAAAAACCCTGTTATCTCATTAAACAATGCAATATCTGTTGCTAACACTATGATCAAAAACTGCAACTACATATACCAACTACATATAACATATACTCAAAATACAATGAAAAAAACAGCCCCGGACACTAGGAGGACATGTGACCAACAGTCAGGTTAAAATCTGCCTTGTATTCTTCAAAGTAGCACCATTGAAGGCAGTAGAGAAAGTTAGTAACATTTAAACAGTACTGCCAAGGACATTTTTTTCAAAACATTTCAATGTTTGGATGTACTGGAGGGCAACATAAAAACTTTTACTATAGTGCATGTAACATTTGTCTGGTGCAGGTTATTTTATTAACTGTTACCTGCAATATTGCAAGTATGCAGAAAAAAAGTATTTCCAGCCCTGTACTGTACATATATGCAATCTAACATGGTTTTAAGAAGACAGTGCTGAAAAATAGGCTTCACATATCAAATTGCAGATACCGTAAGTCATGCCAATGAAGTTTCTCCCCACCTGTGTTCAAGCGTAACTCCAGGCGACTGACTTTAGCTCGAAGAGTGACAAGTTCCTCCTCTTTACCCTGTTTCTCCTCCACTGTCTCATTGATAACCTCGTTCAGCTGTTGTACCACCTCCTCGTGAGTGGCCAGTTTGGCTTCCAGCTCTGAAGTAGGGATAGATAGCAGAGGGTCAGCATGGGGGGATCCTGGCAATACTTAGTGGTAAATTTCTAAGGGATGATAATGTTTAACGATAAATGCAGGAAGACCAGTAACACTTGGTGGTAAATAAAGCAAAATCTATCCCTCAAAATGCAGGAAAAGCATTTCAGAGATTCAAAATTTCCCGGGACCCCCCTAAGATTGTTATGCCTCTAAAGCATCACCTGGCACCTTTGGCACTTGACATGATGTTACGTCAAACAAAATTGAGATGATGGGAAAAAACTCAGCCTGGTTGGAACACTGATACGACATTAGAAAAGGTACAGAAACACATCAGACCTTGGATTATCTTGTCCTTTTGTTCTTCAACAGCATCAAATTTCTCTTTCACAGAGGATAGCTGGCACTGGAAGAGAAAAGCATATCTTTTAACTCCTCTATAAGTCAGCCATTACAAAGGACAAAAGCCATGTAAAACATCAACTGGACAAACTAGAATTATACAATGAGAAATTAAATTGTTCTCCAACTCAAGAAATTTGACTCAACAGAATTTCTGACTGAATTACTTGGTCTCAAACTATCTGATACAAGTTTAGTGCCAAATAGCAACCTTAGCAGGCCAAGGGTTAACATGGATCTTACCTCCAGCATTAAACACTGGTCCTTTTTGAACTGTAGCTCCTGTTGAAGACTCTGTTCCTTCTCAGACATAGCACTAGCAGCGTCAGGGATGTCATCCTGTTTGTTGGCAGAACCTTCCTCTGCATCCTGCCAGAATCATTCAGACAAAGAATTCAAAGGAATTTAATGCAATTTTAGGACAGCAAAACATTAAAAGATTTGTGATGTCGTGTGGTGTAGTGGTACATCACTGGACTATGAAACGGGGAGACCCGGGTTCGATTCCGGGTCGTACCCGAACAAGTCCGAACATGCGCCCCGACGTTGTACCCTTGGGAAAGGTACTTTACACGACTTTCCTCACTTCACTCAGGTGAAAATGAGTACCTAGTTTCGGCTAGGGACGTCCCTCGGATAGGACGTTAAATCCCGTGTTTGGGAGAGCCACAACCCACGCACGTTAAAGAACCCACCACACTTATCGAAAAGAGTAGGGGACCTTCCCGGTGTGAGTGGTTCAAATATTACAGTCTGGTCTCAGGTTTGACATCTTTGAAAAGGTGATCCTTCCACAAATGTGGTAAATCGTCATAAAATAAAATAAAATAAAATTAAAAAAATGAAGAAATCTGTCTGATATTGATGTTTACTGCCATTTATTAGCACATTTTTGTCATTATTTCATACATGCCTTTCCCAAGGACACAACATCTAACAAGGAATGCCAGGGACTGAACACACAAACTCTTGATTTTGTGTCCACTAGCAATCAGTCATTCTACACCACAATAGAGTGAGTAGGAATATCTAGAAAGAACTTTAAGTTTACCTCTGTTTGCGTCCCTGCCTCGATGAACATGAGTTTGGGCAGTTCGTCCAGAGTGGGCATGAAGGCCACCCTGCGGCTGGAGCGGCTGGAGCGGGTAGAACTCACACTGGACCGGCTCTCCTCCAACATGTCAAAGTCAGGCAGGGAGTCCCCCGAACCACCCTCCAGACTGAAGCTTTCTCCTGCCGGGGACTCCAACACTGGGTCCAGGTCTGAAAAACATCACATCACATTTTTGTACTTGTTTTTTCACGTATGCAGGGCTTAAAATACTTTTATCAGCATACCTGCACTGGTTCAAGTATCATTGAAAGTCACATTTGTACCTGCATTGATCTGACAAATTTTACCATCAGCTGAGAAACTGTACCAAGTCTCCATTGAATTCTAATGGTAACTGGGTTCAAAACCAATTGGACTCAACCATAACAGTTTATACACTGAGAAATTATAATACCAACAAAAAGCCAACACTGACCACCAAAGATGGGTTCTCCAGAGAAATGTTTCCTTCTCTTGCGGGGAATGGAGAACTCTGGTACATCACACATGGAAAGGTTCACGTCCTGGTTTGGTGGTTTGAACGAGGAGGGGTCAAAGGACAGGCGGGACTGCTGTCCCACTCTGGGGCACCAGGTGGCTCTTCTGGGGTTTTTCTGTCAAAAGAGATTTAATTTCATTTTCCCAGTCAACATGGAATGATATGCTGTTTCAAATTAAAGTACTACTACAGTACTAGAAACATAGTATTTGCAAAGAATAAGCATGGTTTACCTTCACATGGTCTCATATAATGATACCAAACTATTGCTCTGTTAATTCTTACTTAAACACATTCATAGATATGATACCATTGCCTCCAACTGTCCTGCAACTTTCTACATAATGCAATCCAACACCACAGGGTGTCCGCTACAGTACCCCTTACCTACGCATGCACACAAACATAGCCAGGCACACACAACTATGTACAAAAGGACATACAAAGACAGAACCACACACACATACCTTTGCCTTTTCGGTGAGAGCTTTAGTATCTATGCTGGATCGACACATGAAAAGCTCCATGTTTTTCAGCTTCTTCTCCTGCTCCTGTTGTAGCAGCTCCTGTTCCTGTAGTTTCTGTCGCAACTCCTCGTTATCCTGCTCCAGGGTCAGGAATCCTGTCTGGCTATTCATCTATGTATGATAAAGAAACAGTACTTTCAGTACAGCATTTCTCCATCTATGCCTTCAATAGCATGTTGGCATGTCTATTCAAAACCATGTTTTCTGTTGGATGTTTGGTCAACGTTGCATCAGAATTTTGTCAGTTGCATGAGATATTTTTTTCCATCACAACATTTAAAAACTACAGAGGGAATGTCATCTTTAAATATGCTAACATGACCTTAAACGATGTATTCCATAGAAATGCTTGACGATAATGCACATTTTGTTCTGGATTGCAGTGCCTTCAATAGGTATGGTTTTAAAACTTAACAAAAAATAGTATCACTAAACTCTCAGAACTTTTAGGTCATCTGACAAAGTAAGAGAGGCTAAAGACAAAAATCCATACTCATTCAAACGACAATGGCACCAGTAAATTATCAAAACTTGTGAAATGCAGCACTTGCATATCACATGTCCAATCTCATCATACCTCTTTGATTTTCTTCTGCAGATTGGCAATCTCCTTCTTAGCTCTGTTGAGCATAGCCATCTCTGACAAAACTTCGTTGACAACAGGCTTGTTCTTGATGGACTTCGATGTTGTGGCAAACTGTGGGTGGAACAGAATAGATAGTAGTCAAAAACATAACCCATAACCAATAGAGAACTGGTGGCCAAAACGATAACTTCAGTGTGCTAAAAGGTTAACAGGGTAGACAAAAAATAAGATAAATTACAAGTGAACTGACTTGGAGCGTACTCTTGGTTTGTTCTTCTTCTGCTGGAGTCACTGCACATATGACAGCCGTTTTGGAGTTTCCGCCCAGACTCATCTGCAAGATTCTGGTCAGCTTGGAATCTCGGTATGCAATGTAAGCCCTGCAGGTAAGATAGGAAACATTTGCTGCTTTTAATAGAAAAGAAATACATTCATATACAAGGCTTTTTCAGGCAGGCGGCACTACTAGTGGTACAGTGTGGCTATGCTACAGATATTACGTGTACCAGGCAAACTTTACCTGCACCACTCAGAATTTAGGAAGCATGGGTCAAACCAAAAAAACTGTTCAGACACCATCACCTCTTTTGTACTTCATAGGTGGTAACAGTCAATGCAACAAACAAAAATCCACATATACCTAGTACATGTATAACCAGTGCAGGTTAGGTGCAGGTCGACATCAGAAATACCTGCACAGCTCCAATTTTACCTGCACTAACCTGCATATGCAGGTGGGATTTCTTCAAGTTACAGAGTTTGACACTCACCCTTCAGGAGGACATTCGCTGAGTTTCCGGATTACGTTGCTGAGTGTCAGCAAAGACTGGTTGATGGCACCACTTTCTTTCAGTCTTTGTCCTGGAGAATAAGAAACCGGAGAAATAAGAAACCATACTCCATTGTGATTTCTGTCAATTCCTGATTTTTTCACAGTTCTTTCATGCTCACTCTTTTCATTTTGAACATTTCCTCAGAATGTAAAATACACATCAGTGTTGGCAGACTTCACTCCCTTCAGAAAAACAGACAGCACAATTACAGACACACCAAAAACAATATTTTACTCCTTTGGAATGAAATAATACAATAAGAATCCCTCTTGACACCAAAGGCTACAACCAGAGGAAATAAAGAGGACAAAGGGTCACTTCTTACCTTCAGCACCAGTCTGGCTGGCCCTCTCAGATCCAGCAAGGTCCACCAAATTCTATAGGAAGAAAATACCAATTATTTTGTGGATGTACCAACTACATGTGTACTACATATCTAACATGAGCACAGAAAAGAACAAGAAATAGTCATGCCATGGTTGAGTACAAGAGTTATCAACCAAGGATTGAGGTGTACATAAACAGTACAATCTTGCTTACCAACTGAGACACGTTCACTGCGTCATCCTTGGCTCCTTGCTCTCTGCTCTCAATAATCTAAGACAGAGGGTTCAAGATACCATTCCTTAAAAGGTCAAACTCAAAACTTGTAACACTCAAAAGACCATTTGTACATTTGTATATTTGTACAGTACACGGCAATACCAAGAAGCATACTTATAACTGTACCTTTAGTTATGTAAACAGTATACAGAAATTGAAGAGACTTACAACTCGGAAGATGGTGTGTGACCGTGAGGAGCGTTCGTTCATATTGGTTCCAGCAACGTGTCTTCGCTCTAAAAAAACAGAACAGAAACACATATTCAACAACTCTGAATCTCTGCTAGATGAGGCATTGTACATTGTAGCTACTAGTACTATGTGGCTTTGCTATTGCACACGTATCTACCCATGCACACTGGATCATCATTACTCTTCTAAATAAGTCTCTTAGGTTCTTTAGCGTGCAGAGGTTGCCAGCTTTACGGTCACCATCTAAAAGGACAATGTGAGACATATCCTAAACAAGGCGTAAACCCAGGCCGCTGGCTTCATGGAATTTCAACCAGATGTGGCAAGTTTTTTAATAAGAGTGCACAGACCACTACACCATGCAGACACTACAGCTGAAAGATAACATAAGTATACAACAAGCAGATATCAGTGATCCAGACTCACTTTCTCCTTTCTTCATCCACTCCAGGACTTCGTCTTTGCTGCGGACCAGTTTCTCCTCCAGGTTAGCAACATACACCCCGCCTTCCTGTAGAGAAAAGACAGGTTCTATTGGTTATCTATCAACATAGGAATGCTCACAGATAGTGATGCATACCAGTTCACTGGACTTGGATCCGGACTTGTAAGAATGTTTAGGTTCAAGTCCAAAAAAACCTAAAAGTTGAGAACCGAGTCCGGACTTATTACCATAAAAGACCATTTCACATACCCCTTTTCTTTCCAAACCACCTAAAACCTTCCGTAGATTGTAAAATCTTTGCTGCAAAACGAAGAAAACATTGCCATCGGGCATCGTCAAGTACCGGCCTCCATGTTATGTGGTCAAAGTTTCACCCAGACAACATTGCAAGGTTGCCAACATGCAATTTTGTATATGCCATGGGTTTAGGTCCGGACTTACAAGTCCGGACCTGAACCTAAACCTCTGGACTTGAATCCGGACCTGAACCTAAAATTGGGTTTAGGTATGCATCACTACTCACAGAACAGTTAGTACTTAATCCTTATAGTGGTGGCAAGTGCAGGTAATTATAATATAATAATAAGAGAGCGAAGACAAATGATTTGATGATTGTAATGTCTAAATATTAATATAATTTCACAGCACAAGAAGTGACCGTGAAAACCATGAACACAAAACTAAAAGTACCATTAAAAATATCAGGAATGACAGTATTTCTTACCAAGTGTTCTCTGATCTGTAAGCCCCCAGGCTTTGCATCTTTGGTGGCCAGCAGGTCTGATACGGTCTCGTTATAGATCTCCATAAAACTGACTCGGAAGAGGTACTCTCTGTCAGGATGCTATTAGGAACACAATATCAAGGTTAGCAACTAGTACACAGCTCACTATACTACATTGTACAAAAGTACTACAATATATGTACATGTACTGAACAAAACTGAGTACTGACTAACATTAAATCTCCACTACACATACACTCGTGTGCCATGTAGATTACCTGGTCAATGAAGTGGAACATGTCATCTATGGCATATGGGATGATGCCTTCTGTCCTACCATCACCCATCATGGTGTATGTTTTACCGGAGCTGGTCTGGCCGTAAGCAAAGATTGTGCCTGAAATACAAGACAATCAGAGATGGAAGAAGAATATGCATGTCAGCAGAACGTAAATTGCATCTGTGCAAAATGATGGTTTCTGATGGATGTTTGGTCCACTTTGCATCAGAATTTTGTACATATTGGAAAATTTTGTAAAGCTTTTGGTTATCCGACTGCTATGTTAAAACCAAGTTCAGTAGATGCATATATTTACCCACATGTTATTAAATCATCCATGAACTTACCATTGTAACCCTCCATCACACTTTCGATGATTGGCTGGGCAATCTCATCATAAACGTCCTGGGTTGTTTCCTCGTGGTCAAAAACGCGATCTGAGAGAGTAAAACATAACCATTTGTCCAACCATGATTTACTTTTTCACTGCATATTTTGTTTCTGACTAAAGTAAAGATGTTTAGTATTTTTATGGAAAAATAAGAGTTGAGGCAATGTAAACCAACAGGGGACATCCTACTCGACAAATAGATGTTCACTAGCCATTAATGGAAAACAACACATACAGTAATTGGAAAATGGCTAGATTTCCTGCAGACTAATTTCAAATTATATGATTAAGCTTGCCCCTGAGGCATTGCCAAAAATAGCATATTACTGGGACTTACCAAAGAAGTGTCCCAGCCCAGTCTGTCTACCATCTGGCCCAAGCTGGAAGATTTGCTTCGTATCACATGACCAGTACATCTGAGCTCCAGTCTTCTTTTCCCTGTGTTACATGACATGTACTTCAGTACTACAAATCCTAGTTTAGTAGTTACAGTCCTCAATGTTATATATGCTATGAACACTCACTGTCACTCAGCATGTCGAGTCATTGATGTCATTCATTTCATTTTTTTTTCAGTCCATAACAAAGATAAACAACTGCATCTTTGTAGAAATGTAAATTGTGCAATGTTTACTAAATGCATATGTATTTGAATATATCTCTGTGCTGGTGTGCTTCCACATTCAAATTGCAACAGTAGTACTAGTATGCTGCCTGAATAAAAAATTATGGTGGCTACATGGATGTGAAGCCCCAACACACCTTGCGATGAGTGGCCGCACACGTATGGCCACTTTGAAGGCATCGCTGCTGTCTGCTGACGACCGGGAGCGTGGAGGCATCCTGGCAGTTGGATACCTGTCTTCTACACCAGAACAACAACTGTGAAACATAATAAAAATGGTTAACGTTAATGTGCATTTTTGCCTCCAGGGTACACTTTATAAACATAATTTGTGCAAACAAGAAGTAAACCCTTCTTAGCCTGGTTACCGTTCTCCACAAGCTTAATTAGGTGTACTGACAGTACACCTATTAAAGCTGGATAAATTTTAACCACACCACACCCTAAAACTGGAATCCCGTATAATTTCTTGTGCTCTAGTCCGCGACTCCTCCAACGGTAGGGGATTTTGGAAGCGAACTAGAGCACATGGCGAGATATTTGCATGCTACCACACGGTCCACACCCCGCCATTTTCGAGTCGATGCTATACGGGCCCGTCCGGTCAAAGCTTGAGAACCAAACGCGCTTTTAGTACAGTAAAACAACAAGTTAATTACTGTTTTGTCGTTTTGCAAAGAATTATTCTTGAACCTGTTTAAACATGAATCAACGTGACAAGAACTGCCGCCGCGGGGCCCCGCCGCGGCAAGGGGGAGGGGGGTGTAGTATGGTTTGGTTTAACCGTGGTTGCAGGTATATAGTAAAATTACAGCTAATTTTACTATGTCTGCTGTATGGTTTTGGTAATACGGACTCACTGCACAATAACTGGTAATACGGACTCACAACACATTTACGGTTTGTAAGATTTTTTTTTCAAACACGTCATCCCTAAGTTGTGACGATTTTCGTGTCCAGAAAACACCAAAAAGCTCATGGTAGCCAACTTTCCCTAAGACAGATAAACAAAGCATACTTACAAGGATCAGCAACCCTGTAATAAAAGCTTATAATTTTCCCCGAGACTCTAAAACGTAAGAAAACTTGGGCAACACTGCGGACAAAGACGTTTAAATTCAAATATGGCGGCTCGCTAAGCACTGTAGATCAAATATGGCTCTCGTTCTCAGGGTAGCTCAACCGTTGACCAATCATGAGCGGAGGATCCTGCGAGTTCTGGACACAAGAGTGGCTTTGTAAGACGGGAGTTTTTGACGACGCCATAGGGACGAGGTTTTAATTACTAATATCCTACTTTACGTAAATGCCATCATGACCTGCTTGTGATAGGTAACACCCTATATATCACATCAGATTCCTCACACGCACAGACGGCTGCATTTCACGCACGACTACAATCAGCAAAGGGAGATCATGCCCGTAACCAGGATTTTGAATGGGGGGGTTCGTCCCACTGCTTGAGGGGACCTCGAGCGCCGTAGGCGCGAGGCGAGCGCCGAAGGCGCGAGGTTCCTAGGGGGGTCCGGGGGCATGCTCCCCCGGAAATTTTGAAAAATGAACCTTCTAAAATGGCATTTCGTGCATTTTTTGAGAGGATTTTCCCAAGAGAAAATCAGAGATAAATTTTTAATTTCAATGACGAAGAGAGCAGTTTTTCTTACGATTCCAGTCCATCTTTTCTAAGAAAAATCTTGGACCTTTACATAAAATGTGGACCAAAAAGTGGACCTTTACATAAAATGTGGACCAAAAAGTGGACCTTTACATAAAAAGTGGACCAAAAAGTGGACCTTTGAGCCTTGTGGGGGGGTTCTTCCGAACCCCCCGAACCCCCCCTGGCTACGGGCATGGAGATGAAACCTATAAAGAACTGGCTTGCATGGGCCGCCGGGTGGAATGATTGTAGCCTCTGCCAGGTTTCAGAAGCTAGGCTACTGGAAAGAGTAGAAAACGGCCAAAACTGAAAAGGACTGATAACATACCAGAGGAGTTGGTACGCTAAGGACGACTTTAGTTGTTCTGTCAATTTCTATTCTTTCCAGACGCTTCTTCTTTCAAGGGAGTCCATGAAGTCATCTATCGACACGTAAAATAAGACACACCAAAGATTATTTACATTAGATAGATAACATTAATCCAATTATTATTCCACCCAATGATTTGCACTAATTAACTTCCTTGTCACGTATCTACGAACAGAACATTGTATTGTGAATAGCACGCCGGACGTCTCATTTAAAGTCTATTCGCGTACGCGCGTATCACAGTAAGGATGACCTCCCGTCTGTAGTTTTCAAATGTTGTGTCGGAAAAGATATTGTCATGCAGCGGGCAAAATTCTGATGCAACGTTCACCAAACCTCCAACGAAAACCTCCAAGCAGATTTTACGGTGGCAAAATCGTACAGTCTCGACCAGACTTACTACGGCTGAAAAAGTTTTCATGTAGACAGAATAATTTGCCAGGTGTCGGGTGGGTGAGACAGGGTTTCATTTGCCCGGGGGCTCACTCTTCTGACTAATTAAAAAGTTCATAAGTTCAAAAGTTCATTAAAAATTAGCCCTATTCTACTATCTATAACCCATTAGGAAGGCCTGGTGGGTGCCAGCAAAATCGTAACTGCTTTTCCTCAGACCCGTATTGGTCAGGCCTGCGTATTGGTCGGCAGTTATTATCACTTAATAGAAGATGAATGGATACTAGAGGCCAGGCTAGAGGCTACATTAAAAAAAATCTGTCACAGAAAATCATTCATCACTGTCAGCAGTGAACGTGATCAATGGACGCTCTAGGGTACGTGTACCAGATATTCAGAGGCCACACAAGGACAGGTCAGCAAACTTTGTCCTGACAAGAAAACGTTAACAAGCCACTATGTACAGGCCTCGGGCACGTATACGCTTTGTTGCGACATCATGTAGGACGGTTGACTCAGTTCAAGATATTTTGGCAATGACAAAACTCTGGACAAACAGAGACATAATCCGACACAATCTGTCGGGGCCACACAGATTCAACGCACCATAGATAGGCGTAAGATGCTTCGGTGAAAGACTAATGCACAATGGTTGATTGCTATTTCATTTTGGCGAAAACACATGCGAGATTTTGTCTTCCTAGCTGTCAAGACTTTTTTCAAAGTTCGCTTTAAGTTGTCCCGAAGACACCGGTAACTCGATATTCTTCCTTACATAAGTTGCCCCTAGAAACCGGCCACCGTTGACCAATTGTTTGCAGGTAAACTTGTCAAGGTTTGTGCGTCCTTAGTTAACCCAAGGACACAGCGTCCTTGGGTAACCTCCTAGGTGTGACAGGTCAATTCCTGCATATCTCACACACACCACACACCTAGCTGACTCACGGCGAGTAAGAACAGTACAGTAGTCATGATGGTCAATGCTAAGAAGGTCTGTGTTATTGGGGCCGGAGTGAGCGGCCTGTCTGCAGTCAAATCGTGTTTGGAGGAAGGTCTTCAACCAACCTGTTATGAGCAGCACGACGATTTGGGTAGGAACGAGCGTTTCTTTCAGTCTTGACTGGTTTTTCCTATTGAGTCACTTTGAATATGTCGCAATGGTCCGGCTATCGCGTTAACGGCAAATGCGCGCGTCATCGATATCACTGGATAGCCTTAAACAACGCTTACAGTTAGATGGGTAAGGGTACAAAGTATAACAGTCGTTCAGGGTAATATAGTCAGCTTCTGCCATGTCTTGTGCCTGTGAGGCTGGAGTGTTACACCACAGGATAGCCATATACAGAAGATAGAGTGGGTCGAGCCCGCTCTGAGGTTTTATATGACTGTGCTTTTACATTTCTTCCCGGCCTGTGATTTCTTTCTGTCCTCAATTGGTGTCCAGGTAATGATTACGAAATCTGACATAACTTGACGTAAGAAACAAAAACGCTTCGTTCCTAAGTCGACAGACAGGAAAGTTTGTTTTTGATGAGAAATGCCACATTGTTACTGTAGTGTACTTACAAAGAAGACAAGAAGAAGGGATACTTCAACTGACAAGCCACATACACTTCGTTTAACGTTGCTATTTAGTTGTCAAACATCGGAGAAATTAAACGGAGTATACTCATTACCACAGGTGGGATCTGGCGCTACAGTGAGGACCCTCGCCCAAACCAGGGAGCCGCCATGTTCAAGTCTGTGGTCGCGAACATCAGTAAGAGCATGCTCTGCTACAGCGACTTTCCCTTCCCAGAGGACGCGCCCATGTACCCAACTCATGACAGGGTGCTTCAGTATCTCCGTGACTACGCGAAACACTTCAATCTGCTGCCTTACATCAGGTAGGTTGACAGCAGGGCAAATATCAACTTATGTCCTTAAATAAAGTCCCTGTCACATATAGGACAAACGAAGATCCATATTAACTTGTCATGTCTGTAAATAAAGCCACAGGCTGTCATACATAGCTACACATAGCCGACTTTTGACCTTCCCACGACTAATGCCAACAAACCCAAACCCCCAACCATTGTTGGGAGTAGGTTGGGACCAAGGTTGGCTACTTGTCGGCTGCGACAGCCGAATGTTTGAAACAATTTGCCCATTCTTTATTGCCGAACAACTGTAGGGTACAAAGTATGATACCTACTGGTACATAACTAACTAAAAACTAAGATTCATAAGGCTAACCAAACTGCGGAAAAGACATGCGAAACTGGAAGGGAGGTTGGGAAACTTTCGAACGGTTGTTGATCTGGTTGGCTGGTGGTTGTGACAAAGTCAGCAGTGATCGGGGCGTGGTTGGGAGTCAAACTTGTAACAATGAAAACATGGGAACATTACATTGAAGGCGAGTTATATGATGCACGTACGTATTAAGTTACATGTACCACGTTTTCAAACGGAGCACAATATCAGTTATGGCATTCTTATGAAAGGTATAAGAACATTCGCTTCTTCATATAAACTTTTCTTTCCGTTACTTTCACATTTGTTTTATATCTGAATTCTAGATCAAGACATGAACTTAATTTGATGGTTTTACAAGGTTTGGGACACAAGTTATCAAGGTAGAGGAGGCAAAAGACCACGTGACCTCCGGCCAATGGGTGGTGCACACATCAAGCAAGGCAGAAAAAGTAAATATCTGTTTATCTGTTTCTGTTTACATCTGACACCGGACGTAGATAACTTTGGTATTTGTTTGTTTTGAGTAGAGGCGAAATGCTTTAACACAGTTTTAAGACAAGGTTTCCAGTAAGTTTGTTTTTGTTTTGTATTCTGTGCATGTTCTGTGTAACAGTACTGATACGTTTTATGTGAAAAATTGCAAAGAGAATGGGAGAATTTCTATAAAGATATGCCTAAAGGCTTTTGTTCCCTTTTTAGCATCATGAGACCTTCGATGCTGTCATATTATCGAATGGATCGGCTTTTGCACGTCCGGTGAACCCGGATGTCCCTGGGTACGAGACTTTCAAAGGCGCGAAGCTCCACAGCTCTCAATACCGGACCAACAAGCCATTCGAGGGCAAGAAAGTGTTGATAGTCGGTATGCCTTCTTTACGCTAACTTAATTTGTGTTGTCAAACAAGAATTAATGATAATGAGAAACTTTAGCCTGTTCTCCAACTCAAACAATTACTTACAAAAATTTTCGACAGAATCACGAGTCACCGTTGCTTTACCTTGTCTTTTCTTTGTAACCGTACTCCCTCTCATCAACAACCAGGGTTCGAAGTACTTTTTGCCCCACTAGTACTGGGCTAGGCTGCCCGTCAATGTCTCAGGTTGCCGTCAACACCGGCTGGTTATTTCAGAAGGCCGCCTGTAAAAGTATCGCTTTCATGCTGGCCGAGGCGGGACACAGGGAATCTCAGAAGCCATTTAAACTTTAGAAAGGTCGCTTTGTATGAAACTTTGAAAAAGATTGCATGCCGGGTAACCTAGCATCTCCAACTTCCAAGTTTCGCACAGAAACCATGACTTGCGCTAGCCTGAGTGTCAGCCCAGCTTTCGTCCGCTCACGTGCACCAAGATCCACTCCCGGCCCGTATACGTAGCGGATCTTGGGCAGCGAATGAAAGCTAAAAAGCCTGACACTCAGGCTAGTTTTGCACGGCGAGGGTGCGAGAGTCGGTATTTCGATCCATGTTAATGCCCATGTCTCCAAGGTGTCCTCGCCCTACTCTCTGGCATCCTTTTCCAACTTGCCGCTTGACCGGTTGAACTCCAGTTCAGGGACACCTTTGTCAGTCGATGATCTTTGGCCGTCTCGCTCAACCTGTCTGCAAAAGACTGGAATGTTGTTGTTCGACCTTGCAGTGTTGTGTGACAACAGTGCAGTATGGGTCTATGGGATCAATGTTGAAATCGTATAGGTACAGGTATGGGTAAAACTATAGTGAAACAATACAGGTAAAACCAGTGTGGAATTTGATGAATTTGGACGAACGCACCTTTTACTGAGTTTTTTTTTTCGTTCTTCAGGGTCTGGCAACACTGCGTTTGACCTGGCTGTTGATGTGTGCCGCGTAGCGACTCAGGTGGATACTACAATATTCGTGTACTTACCTTGCATTCCACATCAACTTGTAGAATCAAAAGTCTGATTTTTGCTTGATAATAGTTTAATTTCCTAAGAGCAATGTACTTGAATTTAAACGTCACAAACACCCGATGACCAATGACATTGTATCCGAATAGGTTGATCTGGCCCTCCTGAAGGGCACATGGGTGGTGCCACGTCTGCACAAGAAAGGAACACCTCTCGATGAGCACGCCTTCCGCCGCGTGTACTCAGACATCCCACTGTCATGGCTGAACGACATGCTGAAAGGTATCCACGCCTCCCTATATCTTCTATGTTGAATGTCATGATCGGATAGCGCCACAGGCGGAATCTGGGAGAATTGCAACCACTTGACCACGCAAGATTTTGTGCCCCGCATGACACGATCCAGGACTCGAAAACTAGTGTGAATTTTATATGACACGAAAGGTGATCATGATTATGATACTTAAGTGTCCGTTTCTTTACTGGGGTTAAGAGATCTTGGTATGGACCCGACTTTGACTCTGTTTTGTACTTCATCTATCACTCTGTATCGGCCAGGTTTTTCAAACAACCGATTCGACAACGACAAGTACGGAGTTGCGGGGACAGCTCAGCCTATTACACAAACAGTCCTCACGATCAATGACGACATTGGGCTGTGTCTGGCGTCTCGTAAAGTCGCCATCAAGGTTTGACCTGATCTTGTTACGTTTCTTTACGAATGTTGGACAAAAAAACTGTCAGTACTCAAAGTATTGGTACTGGTAGGCTTTACTGCTGACTCAGCAAGCCTGCCAGTACCTACGCTTTTAATGATGTCCTTTATATTGTAATCATGCGATTGTATCGCTGTAGTAGTAGTAGTAGTAGTTGTTGTTGTTGTTGTTGTTCTACATGTAGTTGTTGTTTTTGGTGTTGTTGTTGTTTAGCCTCAGCTTGTGGAGCTGTCTGCCAGCTCTGCACGTTTTGCTGACGGTACAACAGTTGACGATGTTGACGCTGTGATCTTCGCAACCGGCTATGCCCTCCGCTGCAGTTTCCTCGATCATGAGCTTGAAGGTGTTTCAAATGTGGACAAAAAATAAACTATAGCTTTGAAGCTCTTGTAACTTTTGTATTTTAATATGATTTTCACCCGTCATCTTAAAGGTTACTTCTAATTTGTCTTGGCACTACTTTACTACATTAGTCATTACTTCCGGGACAGAAGTATTGTTTTCGGTAGCGATAATTGATAGCTTGTGTGTTTGTGTCGATTCCGAGCAGGGAAATTGTCAGTCATGATGTGATTTTGGGTGGGCAGGCATGTATGACGTCGATAATTTGACTGATGGTGTAATCGTGAGAGCAAGTTACTAGTACGCCAATACATTCTATGATGTAATTTTGTTAAGAATGTTTCCCTCATTACCGTGCAAGATACCCTAAACAGTCGCGGAAGACTGAACTCTACGATTTCTTGTTCCCAATGCAGCTGATATCAGGAAGCTGGACCTCTACAAGCTGGTGTTCCCCACCAGGCTGAAGCACAACACCCTGGCGCTGGTCGGGGCCGGACAGAGCAACGGACCGCTCTTTCCTCTGATGGAACTACAGTCACGTTGGGCTGCCGCGTAATTTATCATGTTTATCTTCGCAGAAGGAAACATATTGTTTTTGCTCCGTTTCTTCTTCCCATCCTCTTCTTTCCTTCGAAACAAATAAGGTCAATGACGTGGACTAGACGTCTTTCGCCATGGTAACTGTTGCTGTAACATCTGTGTTATTGGATTGTATTATGTAGCAAGTGGCACGTGTTTGAGTAAAACTAAACACAGCAATAGTTCGTTAGGCAATACTTTGTGAAGGTATGTTCGCATTGCAAATGTTACTTTTCTAGTATAGTCCATCCTCACCATGTTGTGTAAGTAAGCCTAAATCCAAGATTATTGACTTTAGATTGGTTTTCAGGTTTTCAAATTTTCATTTTTAACCACATGTGCCAAGTATGCCCGTCTTTCACTTTTCAAGGGTTTTCAAGGGTGTCCACAAACTACCGGATGGCAACAAAATGCAAGAACATACTGACGCCTACAAAGACATGATGCTTGCAATATTTGGACGCCTCAAACCTAGTGTAAGTACAAGGAATATATGAAGGCTGCTACATTACATCCGACAAGTGCTTCTGCAAAGCTGATATATTTTGTATGTTCTGCCGGTAGGTGCTTTTGTTTTAGAAGACTATTATTCTCTGATTGCTTGTTAGCTACAGAGCTTGTGCTAATATTATAATCTTTTCCAAGGTTTAAGTTACCATAACGTCAGTGATCTGTACATTTTAAACCAGACAAACAACGTGGTGTACCGCGACGACCTTGCGGCAGAGATCAGCGCGAAGCCCAACATCCTGCGGCTGTTCCTGACAGACCCCGCGATGGCCTACATGTACTACTTCGGCCCGGCCTACCCGGTCAGTGTAGTCACATATCATAAAGTCAAGACGTATTGGGTTTTATCTTTGATATTTGTTATGGATTTTGCAACATCTGTTCACTGTGTTAATCATACTTGACCCGTCAGTTAAGTCATGTAGTGTTACTGGGAACATTGATGTCTAAAATTGCCAGCAGGTGTTGTGAACGTTATGCGTTGACATCGTATAATTAAAATCTCAGATTTCCTGTCTTTGCCTGTCAGGAAGACAAGGCCTAGCTTTGCCAAGCGTTTCAAGCGAACGAGAGTCACAACATACACGACAAAGCAATGACTATTAAAGTATGAGCACATGTCAGACAGAGGCGAGTAGCTTATTTGTGGCCGATGATTCAAATTTCCCCCTCTGTTTTCCACAATACAGTTTCATCACCGTCTAGTGGGCCCGAACAGCTGGACCGGTGCAGTCTCCGCCGCCAAACACGCGTACTACAACACGTTCAGCGGCGTGGGGTCCAGCTTCACGCCCAGGGACACCGGCTCGGTCTGGTTCAGCACCAAGATGATGGTCACCTGTGTGATCGTTGGCGTGATCTGTGCCATAGTCACCATGGCTCGGCTGTGATTTGTGTGATAGGCCATGCTGACTTAGTCATGTGGATGGCATCCACTAGGCACCCCGAAACTGATGCGAGCGTGCAAGTAAAACTTGATAAGTTGGGCAAAGAAAAACTGACTTCGTCATGAAGTCTAAGTGGTCAGGAAGGTAGAACAAATGACTGAACACAAAGCATGGTTTTGCTGTAAACTAGTATGTCCAGTCCTGATTTCGCTGGTCTGACAAACAATTTTAAATTCTTTTTCTTCAAGGAGAGAGACTTCGCTTGGAGTTCGAAATACTCTTCTCATCACATAGTTGTACTGATACACATGGCAAACAAATTACGATAGAAAGACATATGCCCGTTTTCCAACATTTCCTTAAAATGTACGGCATATACTTGCTCGATTTGCAGCTTCTTAGTTGGATTTTCAGTAAAGTCGGAACCTTTTTTGGGAAGGGGCCAAAAATTTATGCTCGCTTGGATGTCATCCATGTAATCACATCAGTTTGGCCTTACAACAAATATAAGGCAAAATTTGTCAGCGTGGTTTTTCAACACCTTATTTTACATGTATCTGAGAGGAATTGTTTTCTACTAACTTTGGTGATTTTTTAAGTCATTTCTTTTTTTGTAGGGATTGTCAGGCGGGTTTTTAATCTAAGACTGGGTGTCAAAAAAGTTTAATACATTTCCTTGAAATGCGTCTACTCAATTTAGCTTCAAGAGCAAGTCAAAATATATGCATATTATATATGCGGAAATGATTTGAGGTTATGCTAGTAAGATATTTACGTGTGTGTGATTACAGTCAGTACAGTACAGTATAGTACAGAACCGTACTCTGGTATAAGGCAACGTGTCTAGAGTTGTTTTAAATTTAGATGCTTCTTTCAAATGGTATCCATAGTCTATGTTTGATATCTTTGATATTTACTGGTTTTGAAAGATTTGCATATTGTAAAACCATAACTTGATAAGGCTGAATTTTTTTCCCTAGCGACTAACATTTATACCGTAACGTTTCTGGATTTGTGGGGAATTTTCAATAAAAACAATATTATATACAGCAGAGTGAACTGAGCAATGGCTTATTTCTTGGACATTGAGGTAAACCCAGAGAATGCTTAAAATGCCCCAATGGGAAATCAAGTTAGAAATACTTCACGGGTTGCCCTTATATGGACTGGTTAATCCAGAAGAAAGAAGCTGATTGGGTGTTTCCACCTGGTTCAAGGCCGCGTGTGTACAAGGTCACACGTACACCACTTTCTTGAAGGATGACCGGATCGCCCTTTCAGACAGGAATGAACATTTTCAACATCCATATTGGCCAGAGGTACTAGTATATAGACCACCGCTACTTCGCCATGTCATGAAAATGCAACAATATTTGTATTATACATACGTAAACAGTAGTCATTTTGCGTCTTGTTTTTATCAACGAATGAACGTTCTTTGAATTAATTCCTTGATAGTGTTTGAACTCTTTCGTCATCATTACCGTCGTCATCATTCCTCCCCTTACATTGATTATTGGAGTGTGTTAAAGTGTAGTGATTGGCCTTAATTAGGACTTATGAAAAGGTTAACGCGACAAGTCCGTTGTGAATTTGTGTATATAAGGAGGCTATGTTACTGGTTTAGGGATTGCGGTTTCCAACAAGTCCACAGGAAGGACAACTTTTCGTTTTACCTCGCAACTCTTCGAGATTCCGGGTATATATGTTGTTTGCCTACTTTGAAAACAAGTCTTTTTGTTGTATTACATGTATTACAGCAACAGAATTATTTAAAAAAGGCTAGTTTTTAAAATTTAATGTATAAATCACGTATTTTTAAACAAACTTAATTTATTGTCCTTACAGGAACTTTCCTAAGACCAAGAATCATTTTAGCAGCGAAATGCATTGTTGTGTTTTATTTACAAGCAATCAGTTTGTGACTGGATTTCGTTTCATCATTGCCGTCTGCAGAGCAAAACAGCAAAATGAGTTTGTCGGCTGCTGACAAGAAAATCGTGACTGACTCTTGGGGACAAGTCTTCAAACCGTCCTTCAGGGAAGCGGGCGAGAAAGTATTCCTCAAGTAAGTTGTTCGTTCATGCATGTGCATCATTGTGAACAAAAGCCTTGTATTTTCTTCTGTCAAAAATTCTAAAGCAGGGTTTGATGTTCATCCTTTATCGAGTTCTTGGTGTTGTTTTACCCCTTATGTGTTTGTAATTCCCGAGATTTCGGTCATTTGAGTCAACTTTTTGTAACTCTCCTTCGTCTTTCCAATCTGTAGGCTTTTGAAGAACGAATCCATCAAGGCGAACTTCAAGAAGTTCAAGGACATTCCGTACAGCCAGCTGGCCGGTTCGGGCGTGGTTCGTGACCATGGGGAGAAGGTAAAGCAGAGATATATGTTCTATACCCATGTACAAATATAACTTCAAATTTAGAATACCGTCTTTACGTGGACGGTCACTTACGTCATGTGATAGCAAACTCAAAACATTTTTGGCACGGCATGTGTCCCACAAAAATTGATTTGTTATGAAAAACGCTGTGTCATGGGTCCTTGTTGCCGGTTGGTTCTGTCACAGCCTATCATGCTAAGGCATCAATGACTTAACGACGAATATATGTGTTTAAATTGGTCTGCTTTGACGTAACTTACTAACTACGTCCAAAAAGTACGTTACCTCGATGGCTTGCGTACGATCTTCCAGCGAGAATTCTGCGTGCCTGCTAGGCCTCGTGTAAATAAACGGACGAGATCGTGTGCAACCCCGTTTCCTGTTGCAGGAGGCAGGAGTCATACAAATTCCATTCCTTCCCGAACAGGTGCTGCAGGTGTTGGACGACTTCATCACAGGTCTGGACGGGAGTGGGGAGGAGGCCGTGAAGAAAGTCGCGCGCATGCACAAGGGCGAGGGGATACCACACGACAAGATAGAGGCAAGTGTAAGGATTACGTAATATATGTACGAAATGCTCTGGGTTTCCTTGTTGTATGTACAGGTATAACTGCCCTTTTTAGTTACTTTAATACAAGTGTTGAACACTTCGATCCCGGGGATAATAATTCTGGTACTTCAAAGCATGACTATTTCTTGTTGCTTTTTGGGCACGTATTATATATTTAGTAGTTGGTACGTTCAGTTTATTAGTCAATTTGTACGTCACGCTGTCTGGACATTTTCCTTCTGTTTTATCTGACATTTACTGTAGATCTGTTTTCATTTTGGTAACACTGGCAGGTGAGCAACACTTTGGGCTTCCTAATCCGTCTACTTGGTGCATTCTGACACGTTTCTTTTCTTTTTTTTTCAATGTAGCTGATGAAGCCAGCCATTCTTGAGGTGTTGGACGAAGCTGGTTGTGGCGGCGCCAAGGGAGCCTGGACCAAACTGTGGGACCGCTTCATGGCCATTCACCGCTCGGTCTACTGAGAGCGCCCCCTGACGTGGCCTTTGAGCAACGCAACGAAACGTCGCGTGCACGAAGCGTCACCTGCAGTTGGTTTTAATAGTAAAAGCTTGTCGCTTGGACTTGTCAAATGCAATCGCTTTTAAAAGCACTGCAAATGCAAAGGTTTCATAAGCACTGCAGTCTATAACTTAGTATAAGTAGGCATTCACTGCTACCTTGTACGGGCGTTTGACTATTTCACAATTAGATCTTTTGAATGGTGATACAGATAAGAAACAATACAATAATACAATGTATGGTTAAATTCAGTACTGCAGACAAGTATCAGTTTTCCAAAAACCTCATTGTATCCAACAGAGCTGTGAAAAACAGCAAATGTTTTTAACATGATCTGGTAATGGTTATGAACTAACGAACATAGACTTAAATATCAAACAATAATCATATACACTGATGTTTCCATACGAGCATTTCTAAGGAAGGTGCCTGTCGGTATGCTGTGCTTGTAGAGCATGTTTTGAGACCCATGGAGTGTGGGCATTAATTTTTTCATTAAAGAATAAGAATTCGATGTACTGAACAAATTTGCTGCACTTTTCTTGAGTTCATCTCATTAGTGTATCCCTGTTTTATGTTATGAGTATATGTTTTCAAAAATTATGATACGTGCGGTAATGAACGTTATGAAAAGTGCGATTTATCCGGCGTCCTTGGACTAGCGTATTACCAAAGGATAGAGCTTTATAATGTCCAGCAACGTCTAGCAGATTTTACTTGTCGTTTATGTTGCAGCCGCTGTGTGGCGCTTTTTACATGCCACTGTAATATGAGTGTACCACTTGATAGCCTGGGTTTTGTTTAGACCAAGGCTATTTGACAAGTTTCTAAGGTGATTAGTGGAGAATGGTATCAGGGAAGAGAGAGAATCGTCTCTGTTTTCCCTAGCTTTGAATTGATTTCATGAAAAACGAATTATTTTTTCTTCACCTTAAAAATGTATACGGCCCAGATGTTAGAGCCAAGTGAGTGAGTAGATAGATGAAACAACCACACAAAATATTCCCTTAACATTTAATACCACTGTAATGTACAAGACTCCACATAGTATCCAGAACAACTCTGCACAATAATGTTCTGCTACAGCTGTGGAATGTCACAATTTGGCAGGTACAATGACATCATCTTAAGTACATATACTACTGCAGTACTGGAAACCTGTTATTCATTCTTTTTTAAATATCAACATTATTACCTCTATAGCAGTTTGGCCAACTGGCTAGACAGCTTAAGACTATCACAATGGGTGGAACATCCTTAAAACATGTTAACAATGGCTCTTAGGTCAAAAGACAGCAAATGGCTTTGACACTGGTGAAAGATATCCTTTCAGTATGTTTTATGTACAGCATTACAGTTGAAAAGTTACATAATGAGAAATGCACTGTCTGTTCTCCATCTCACCAGTTGAAAGTTCCTGTGAGTCAAATTCCTTGAGTTGGAGAACAGTTTATTTCTCAATAGTACAGAAAGATATCTCCTTTCAACCTAAACTTCTGCTGGAAAATGTTGAGGAACTGCTAGTCATTAAAAACTAGATCTTAGAAACCCTGTATTTTGATCTGCACTTTCAGGACAGTTTCATATTTTTTGACTTGAAAGAAGAGAAGAACATACTGAGCCTGTGTGAAATCTGAAATGTACATACATACATGTATGTTCACATATTTAAATACTAGTATGGCATTCTGCTTTGACTTTTCAAATGACAATGCTGTTGTGTCAGAAACTTTTGATGCAACGTGACTAAACATCCAACAGAAACACAGTATGTTCTGTCCATGTGCTCTTCTATGGTAATGTGACAAACTACTGTCCTTCTACTTGAGTTGGCCGTTACACTTCGTTGGCTACTCTTTTTTCAACATCAACATCTAGATCTTAAACAGAAATTTACAATTTATACTTTTATGTAAAACTATATTTCATACTTAGGAATAAATACAACAGTTTGGAGTATTGTATGTTCTGTAAATGAGACATGAGTTGTCAATGACAATGCTGGTAAAAAGTGCAGCAAAACCACAACTACAAAGGGAAAAATGATCTGAATCCTCCTAAGATTGGTGCATGCATGCTCAAACAGTTTCTGTGCAAAATATTAACATAATTGAATGAACTTCTTGATACCAAGAAGTGGACTGACCTAACATGTTACCAGGATATTGGCAGAACGTACTGCACCCGCACAAAACATGGATTTTTCACCATTTTCATTGGATGTTTGGTCAACGATGCATCAGAATTTTGCCCATTGCCGATATATTTTCTCATACAACACTTGAACTAGAGACAGGATGTCATCCGTATATGTGTATAAAACCTTAAATATTCTGCCAAAGTGCTATGCACAATACACTACGGTTTCGTGCAGGTGCAGTACGTTTTGCCAATGCTGGTATTGGCACAGTGACAGATGAAATATTCACACTGAAGTTTGATTCTAAACATTTATCAATGCAGACCAGCTAGACAATATAATGACAAATCAGCATCATGCTAACTCTTGATGTTTGCACCTTCCTTTAGGATTCTATTGACAGTGAATTTCATCTCCTGCTAATAGGTAAGACTACAGTTGGCCATCCTTGAGGTACATGGCAGTTAACAGTATGAACTGTTTCTTTCCACAAAGTATGAACTAGAAAAGTGTGGTTGGATATATGTGTACAAATACAAATGTACCTGTGAGGTTGTTGCACATGCCCGTAGCCAGGATTTTGAATTGGGGGGTTCGTCCAACTGGTTGAAGGGACCTCGAGCGCCGCAGGCGCGAGGCGAGCGCCGCAGGCGCGAGGTTCCTAGGGGGGTCCGGGGGCATGCTCCCCCGGAAAATTTTGAAAAATGAACCTTCTAAAATGGCATTTCGTGCGTTTTTGAGAGGGTTTCCAAGAAAAAAAGAGATAAATTTTCATTCAATGAAAAGGGAGCAGTTTTTCTATGATTCCAGTCCATCTTTTCAAGAAAAATCTTGGACCCTTACATAAAAAGTGGACCAAAAAGTGGACCTTTACATAAAAAGTGGACCAAAAAGTGAACCTTTAAATAAAAAGTGGACCAAAAAGTGCACCTTTGAGCCTTGTGGGGGGGTTCTTCCGAACCCCCGAACCCCCCCTGGCTACGGGCATGTTGCACACAGACAACACATGGACATCTGTATGGGAGTATTTGGGAATGTGTTACACTCTACAAGAAGACTTTGACACAGCTGAGTATTTGCCATGTGGAAATTGCCCAAACACTGAAACAATCATTTAAATACTAAACATTACATATTGCACATTGTCTGATTTTATCAAAGCTAACATGATAATAATAATAATAAATATAACATTACACAATCATGTACAGTGTAAAACAAGGATGGTAGGGGATGGAGATTCAGAGGAAAGTTGGGTGGATGGATGGATGAATGAGTGAATGGATGAAAAGATGGATTAATGAAAGGTTTAATGTATGAAACGATGGATGTATGAAAAGATGGATGGATGGATGGATGGATGGATGAAAAGGCTGGCAGCCAGGCTAGAACAAAAGAACATAAACCATAGAGATAGAACAAGCAAGTCTCCATTGGCACGTTGGCCTGTTTGCCAGGAAACTACCCCTACAGGCAGTTTCATCTGAGAAAGGACCATCAAACTACTCCATAATTCATCCAGGGTTTAGTGACTGGTGGTTACCAAGCAGGGACACAGATCCCAGGGCTTCCCACAGAACACTCCTGCATTTTGTATGTCCGTTTTCAGTAATAAATGGTGTTTGCTTCAGATATGAGCATCTTCTCCAACCTGTCTTGTGGAATGAGCATCTAAAACAATAGCAACTCCAGGAAATTTCATATTATTTCTCCATTTTATGCTAAATATGCAATATGCTAAAATACTGCTCAATGTCCCATCTCTTCCAAGGGGGTTTTCCTTAAATCTCCTTGTCTCTTCCAACCAAAGAGACACCTCAAGGACATGTCCTAACAATGATGTAGAATGAAGGAACATTCTCTAAAATTTATACCTGCAATTTTTGAAGGGAAGTTTTAGATTGACAAACCATTAGTACAATTGAAGATGGGGACTGTCCTTATGTTTCACAGAATCAAAAAGTTCAGAGAATACACACTGATCAAAGTTACATCTGTACAGTTGAAGAAAGTGCCTGTTTGTTTTTGTCTTTGCTGTAATGCAAAGTATTAAGCAGCCAACCCAGGAGTATGTTAAAAACATACATATCTATCACATCATAAATGCAGCATAACTTCATCATATTTGTCAAGATTTTTCTGCCTGTACTCCAAAAAGCCTTTACTGACCATATTCCTTTCTATTGTCTACAACATGGATATTACATCAAGAGGTACAGATATTCAGTGAGGGGTATCACAGTTTCCAAACAGTTCTATGATGTTCTGTTGACTCTTAAAATGATCTTTTTCAAGTTGTTGGCATTGTTTGTGCCATATTTGATAGTCATCTAATTCGCTGACAATGTACAGCTTGTATACAAGTCACAATATGCAACAATATTTCCTCCTTCACAATTTCTTTTACCCAACAAAGTATGTTACCACTTGTTTTCCAACCATCATACCTAAAATGGAGCAGAAATTGATTTGAAAGAGATGACTCTGCAGCTTCCCTGGCCTTTCAGTTAATATAATAGGTTCATCTTGTCTTTTCCCCAACACTTAGCAGGCAACATGCCCTGGGTAGGGTATTCTAGAGGGGTTAACCTTCTGCCTGCTAAGATGGCCTTTTGGCACCAAATTTTGTATTGGTAATGGGTTCAGACAGCAGGGAGAATGTCAAAGTTTGATCTGTGGTGACAGTTGAGAGGTACTTAGTCCTGAGACATGTGGAGTCGCACATGTCTTTGCAGCACCTGTGGTCCACTGAATTTCTTGTTGCACTTCAGGCATTTCAGGTTTGGGACGTCCATGATTTTGGTCACGCCTGTACCGTACTTCTTTGACACTGCAGACTGATTTGTGATGCTCGGTTTTTCGTGTGCATCTTTTTCTTTCTTTGTCTGTTCCTCCTTCTTTGTGGAGTTCTCCTCTGGTTTGACAGTCACGCCCGTTCCAGACTTCTTTGACACAGCAGACTGGCTTGTGATGCTCTGTTTTTCATGGCCATCTTTATCTTTTTTGGTAGAAGAATTTGTCTGTTCTTCTTTCTTTGCAGAGTTCTCCTCTTGTTTGATGTTTCTGCCATGCATCCACTTCATATGCTTGCAGTATGTCCCCTTGTTGGCAAACGCCCGCTTGCACACATTGCACTTGTGTAGGGTCAAAGCCTCCGATATCTTTACCTCATTTCCGGTAGCAGGAGCATTTTCCTCATTCTCATTCTCAGGGTCTGGTTTGGAGCTTGGCTGCACCATGGGCTTTACCTTGCCATCGGGCCCGATCATGCGCATGACCGCACGCGTCTTCAGGCTGGTGTGAATCTTTTGCAGGTCTTTCGGGCCTTTCTTGTGGACGCTGCCGGCGTGCCGCAGCACGTGGCGCTTCTCCCGTGTCTCATACGCACAAAACGGACAGCGGAAGAACTTGACAGGGCGACCGTGGGCATTCATGTGCTGGAGGAGGTTGAGCTGTCTGCTGAACTTACGCTTACAGATGAGACATTCCTTCTTCTCCAGATCATAGCTTGCCTGCAGCTTGGTAGTTTTGCCTGCTGGCTTTTCTTCCGTAGGAGTCGATGGTTCCGAGCTGGAGGATTCAGGACCGTTGTCTTTCTGCACCTTCATGCTGGGCTGCTGTTTGTGAACGTCCACCATGTGTCTTTTGGTGTTCCTCTTGGATGCGAAGATTTTTTTGCAGATGAGACACATTTTCCGCTTCAGGTCACAGTGAGACAGCAGCTTGTCGTATTCAGCGCCGATCTTAAACTGCGACATGGGCCTCTTGTGAACGTCCACCATGTGGCGGATAAGGTTCCTCTTGGTGGTGAAGTAGCGGTCACACACGATACAGCACTTCCGATCCATGTCGTAGCTGCTGCGGAGTTTAGGTGTGCCACTGGAGCTGGTGCTGGGAGGCCGTGACGGGGTGGTCTGATCCTCCACTTCATCATCATCATCGTCGTCGTCATCATCATCATCTTCATCATCTGAATCTTTGTCAGCATCATCACCATCAGGGTCCAGTCCATGGACCTCAACCATGTGCTTCTTCCAGTTGTCTTTACTACTAAAACCCTTGTCACAATGTTGGCACACATTCTGTTTAGCCTGTTTTAATTCTTTAGATCCCTCTACATCTTCTGCATCATTGTCCTCGTCATTATCATTGTCACTGTCTTCTTCATCATCATCACTGTCTGAAGATGAGTCATCATCCTTATCATTGGCAGCACAATCCTCACCATTTTTCTCCTCCTCTTCCTTCTCATCATGATCGTCTTTCTTTTCACCTTTCTTTGTGTCTCTTTCATGCTCGTCTTCAGACTTGGAGGATGTAGAGGATGATGGTGAGGTGGTTTTCTCATCTGTCCCTGTGGATGGTTCTATCTCCAGTGACTTGCCGTGATGCTCCACCATGTGTCGTCTGATGCTCTGCTTGGAGATGAAGGTTTTCTTACAGAGGCGACAAATCAGTTTCTCCAGGTCAAAGTCCCCGCTCTTGCTCGGAATGATCGTTCTGCCGGGGAGGGTCTTTTTGTGAACTTCCACCATGTGGCGACGCACGTTCCGGCGAGAGGAGAACGTTTTGTCGCAAAGGCGGCAGTACGCCCGGATGGGATCGTAGTCAGAGTTGGTGCATTCGGGTGGACTAATCTTCGCAAACTTGTTTGTTCTGGTGTTTTCAGGGCTACGGGAATTTGGGGTTGATCCAGCGACAAATTTTGGCCTGGTCACCCTCTGGTACACAGCCTGGGAGGTGCCTGGGATGGACTGGAACTCTATACTGTAGTTCTCAGCTGCAGAGCCGACAATAGGCTGTGGGTCGTCTGGCGGAGGCTCAGGTAACACCACAACAAGACTCTCACCCTGTAAGAGACTGTCTGTGATGGACGACTCTGTGGAGGTCTCCGTTTTCGGCACCATGGGCGTGTCCATGAAGTACGACCCAGTTCCAGACATCCCCAGTCGCTGCTGCTCGTACTCGCTGAAGGGCATGGCACAGTATTCCTGCTTGTGGGACACGAAGTTGAGCAGACCTCGGTACAGGCTGCGGCAGACCCGGCACTCCAGGATCACGTCTGCCTCGTGGAGGAGGAGTCGCTTGATGTCTTCCGTGCCAGCCGTGAAGCATTCGATGATCTGGCGGACCCCGGTTTGGTTGGATGGAACAGGCCGCTGCAGGAGGGAGTAGTCAGCAGCCTCGGCCATGGCGATCCAACAGGCTCCCTGCCTCCGTCTCCTGGTGGGTCAAATTGGTACCTGAAACACAGAATCACAAAGACATCAGGAGGCTGTGTTGGCTGGTTTCTATAGTGACAGAGAATACTGAGCTCCTATTGGACTGATAATGTGATATTCATAGTGTCAAAAAATCCTAAGTATTGGTGGTTCTGGAAATGAAGTCTTTTGTTTCCTGAGTTTCTATTGGTGGTTCTAGAAATGAGAATGGTTCTCTTAGAGGTGTATGGCCACAAGCTTTCAAGGAGGCCCTGACTGTGTAAGAGATTGTGTAATACAGGCTAGTCCAGATTGCAGTCTCAGAATTAATTGATGCCCAAGAGCATAACACACATCAGCTTGTTTGCAGCCTAATTAACATTGACATTTTCTCTCAGCCAAGAATACCTGGCATTGACCAGGTGAAATTACTATGGATTTTTTAACAGCAGAAAGTAGGTCACAGTATAGATGCTCAGTGGCCCGGTACAGCCTCATAGTACATACACTCCACATATAAAATGCACTATCAGTAGTAGCAATTATGCTTTTGTACATCTATTGTTGCATATTTCATAACAAAAAAATTATGTTGCAGTAACTTTTAATTTCAGTCTTCACTGTACCAAGTAACTTTTACAATACATTGTATTACCCAACTTATTTCCCAACTTTTACACTATTTCCTACGAATGCTAGGAATCAAACCCGTGGCTTCTTGGTCTTGTCTCTTGTGTCTACTAACCTAACCAGTTGCCTATCAACAAATAAATCTGGTTGATCTTGACACAGGTGTCCTGGCTAGAGTCATTCTGCAGATCATCAATTTTTCTGATCCTCAAGTTTGGATCTACAAATGTACCCCAGTGACCAGGGTATCAAGGAAAACTTTCTTCAGGAACAATAATGTAAACACACATTATACATTGTAGGTTATCGATAGTGAGTGAGCGACTTAACAATAGGCTTTTAGTAAGTTACATCACACAATTGAAAATGCCCCAGCAGAAGAATAGATCACCAAATGCGCCTCCACAGAAAGCCGTTTTGTTCCCATAATGCCATATCATTCCCGTGTGTGCATTACAATACAGGCAGGCATAAGACTATACCCACAAGAAAATCAATGGCATAAATGCTGGCTCCTTTATTTTCTTATCTTAGGACGGACAGCCGGTCAAGGTAAAAGAATAGACACTGCTGCAGATACTGCTAACGTGGGTTCCCATTTATATCATTCATTACGACGTAAAACCCTGAAAACCATTACTTGGACACAGTCCTTTTTTTGAGACCTTAGAGGCAGTACATTGTAGGTGACTATGTCCAGGGCATAGTATTGGAAGGTGGAGCCCATCCCACGCCGTCTACCATCTTCTACTTCCCCAACCGAAGTTACAGGTAGGTGCTCATTGCACACCTGAGTTGAGTGGCCACTCGATGCCACGAATTGTCTTCAGATAGTCTTATATTTCCAGAAAAAAGCTTCTAACTTAAAAGTCTTTGGTATGACTTGGCAGGGGATCAAACTCAAGACCTACTGAATGCAAGGCAAATACCCTACCCACTTGGCCAGTGGTAGCAAGTGGTAGCAAAAAGGGACTTTTTCAAAGACTTATCAGTGTGTAAGACTGAAGTCTCCTCCACCTAATGTACGAAACACAACAGTTACAAACGCTGAGGGTACAAACTAGTATTTCTCTACAGACTGCACCACTGCATTATCCTGACTACAATAACAACAGCAATCTCATCAAACACATTTTTTTCCTTTAAGAATCTGAAACTTCTTGAAGCAATCCTTTGAACTTTCATACTACAATTTCTTTAATCTTAGCTACTTGACATGTGGGCTGTGAGAATATTTGATACAAGCCATGTGATAACTAGCCATATCACACGGGTTCTAATGGTTATCACATGGGCTTTCAAATGTTCCATAGAGGAAGTTTAATGCATTCGCGTAGACCACTTGTGCCGACTCGAATATTTGAATGTAGGATAGTGGACGCTGGACAATTTTTTCTTTTAATATGGACACAAAATTTGGGCACATTTTGCATTGTCATGTATGTGGTTATGACATCAATAAAACAGAACACGCGTAACTCCCTCCGACCTTCGGGTGAGTGATCCAACCCATGGTGGGGCTGGCACCTGGGGTGATGGAGAATAAACTGTGTAGTGTTCTAAATGTATATCCAGGACATACATCACATAATACATACAAAAGTAGGTACAACTGTATTTTTATGTCTTACATCAAACATCAACATTATGCTATTAAAGATAGGTAGCTAGAACCTTGCTCCCAACCTACTCCTAACCATGGTTGGGTGGAGTTGGCAGTGTTTGGGTGGCCATGTTCGGCTATGTGTGATGGTCCTCACCTAATAAGACTAGATTTAACTTTTTGTAAAATACAGTATGTTAAAAACTTGACACTTCAGCTGTCATCATAGTATAGCGGCTGGTAAACTAATTCAATCCTTACCAAATGCAGCACATTACATCAGGCTACTACTACACACTGTAGTACTGGTAAGTAAGTATCAGCACAAGAAACAATGGCTACATTCCATTGGCCTGGGGCGTTGAATGTTTGAGTAAAGGTACCAGTCTTTTTCTGGCAGCAGTATTGATAGAAAAATGCACACTCTGTGTTGCGATGCCAAGAGATAGCTGATAATGCTGGGCTAAGAGGCTAGATGTCACCACGGGTGCTGGGCCTTCAAACAGGTCATGTGACCACGCCTAGACCAATCACACGGAGCCTAAGCCATGCCAGTCTGCATAGGGCACATTTGCCTTGGGTGGTGGAGAGCACTCTGCTGCCTGGCCCATTACAGATGGCAATATAACCCTAATGTACCGTACTGTGTCAGAAGTCACGGCTGACAATGTGTAAGTCTGAGACACAAGAGGAGACTCCACCATGATGTAGGATTAGAGATTAGGAAAAGTGTCAGCATGCATCACTGACCAGGGCTTTAGCCTACCCAGAAATGACCTGTTTTGTTATGCTGTTCTTTTGCTGTCATTTTCTTTTGCTTTTGACAATACTTTTGTTTCTTTGTTTGTAATTGGCAATATTTGCCATTGGCAATGTGTTATTGAACATTAAAAAAATACTTTCAAATCATATAACGTTACATCGGTCCTTTGATTTGGGAGAAGTGACAATTGACATCGACTTTTTCCCCAGAGCAGTAACGTTCTGCACTTCTTAAAAAAAAACATACATGTACCAATCAGCTGAATCGGGTCCTGAATCAAACTCAAAATGCTCATAAACTACCCTAGTATGTTGACTTTGTGGCTCCTGTTTTTATTTTTTAAACCCACCTGTTAAATTGAATTCCTGAAACAACAAATCAATTGGTCTAGCCTGTTTTAAAGGTCCTCGCCCTTTCCACACCGGCCACAGGTTTTGTTATTGAGGAAATTCTTGACCAGCTACAAGTGATTGGGATTGCAGAGATTGATCTCTTGGCTAGTACATTATTCATTTAATCATTGCTCTATTCGTTCAAGGAATCATGGTACAATGTATGTGAATATTCATAAAGTGCTTAGAAACCAGTCATCAACAGAGTTAAGGGCAATAACCTTTTGTTGATGAATAAAAGGCCCCTACTTTTCTCATTATCACAACTTAAATTGATGTGTACTTGTGAGCGATGTACTACACACTTTGGAATGGGGAGGGGGATGTGTATCATGTAGTGATGAAGTCAGAAGTGATTTGACTGTACTAGACTTAGCCTCCACTAGGCCTTCCTTAGGGCTTGTGAAAAGTACAATTTGGCAAAAGTATGGTCAGTAATTGGTTAGAGTAACATTTCCCCTTGGTGTGGGCAAATGAACAATTATTCTCTATATCTGGCTAAACTTTACTATTTTTCAATCTGCGTGTTAGTTAGTCTGGTGGACACCACACTAAAGTAGCCATGGTCAACCTTCTTTAACCGAACGTACAGCTATCATATTTATTTAATATATAATTGTGTATGCACGTTTTAAACTTCAAGCCAAAGTCTGAGTTTGGACGTTAAACTTAAAGACCCCCGACCCTGAAAAATTGGGGTTGATCACATGAGCTGACAGTACACCCTAACATGTAGTTTGGGATACTACCTTTCAATCAGCTGTTAAAACATTATATGATATCAGACATGGTGCACTTCAAATAGTAAAGACAAATTGAACATGAGAAAATTGGAAAGGCCATACTACCAGCAAATAAACCTCTGATACAGATATTTTATTTTATTTTATTTTATTTTATTTTATTTTATTTTATTTTATTCACATGGATTTTTGAGCATTGGATAGGAAGCACTTGTTGTGCTTATGTAAATCCGCTGCTCATAAAACATAATACAAATGTAAACATAAAGAGATGATACAGATATGAATCACATTGAAGCTGTAAAGTCAGCTAGACCAGTTCTAATGAACGTTGATCCCTACATTGATGTGAATCAGACAAAGCAGGGCAGGTGAGGAAAATTCCGTAATGATACTAATGACGCAGTGGAAAGTACAAAAGCTGCAGATGTTCCTATGAGCTGCACAATTAGCGATAGTTTTGTTAACAATCATCGTGGCCAAAGGTCTTGTAGCTGACAAAAGTAAATTGTCCTGAGAAAGACTATCTTTTAGTTCTGAAAAGAAATTAGAGGCAGCTGGGCGAGCGCTCTGGCAAATGAAGACTGTTGTCATCCCTACAATAGTTGTGACCATACAGGTTTATTAATGGTGCTTTGCAAATATACCTAGATAACCACCTATTCTTTAGTTACCCTTGTTTTTCATCTACTAGTACTTCATTCCTCTTGACATCCCTGCGAATCCAATAAGACAATCTTCCTCCCATCCAAACCTACTCAGGGCCACACCAATTGTGTGTTTGTTTGTGTATACATGTATTTAAGGGCAACTAGACTAATGTCCATTTACGGGATGGGAGCTGTGGTCTACTATTTTCATTTTTGGAAAAATAGATAGAAGAGGGCAGTTCTGAGAAGCAATTGATTAAA